GGGCGTGCTTCTTCCCCCTGGGCCCTGCCCGCTCTGTTCTCTGAAATTTTCTGTTCAACTACTGTCTATTTACGTCTTCAAAAGGCTCGAGTTTTCACCTCGAAGATGGACCGTCTATGCTCTAGTCAACGGTCCCTTCTGAAGGTCCTTGTAAACATCTCCGATGCCAATCTTTCTTTAACTCCAGATCGTTGGGAAACTGCGGAGGTGAGCAGCGTACGCACTGGGTGCTCGCCGATGCGAAGGAACGCACGGGTCAGACTGGCCGCGCCGGCGCTCGCTGACTGGATCCGCACTTCACCTTATGGCAATGTCTTACTTCAAGCGGAGGGAGGCGCATCGCCGACTCTGCTACTGCGGTGATCCTCAGCGGCGGATATCATCGAATTGGAACGCCTAAGGGAGGGGATTTCTGGCCGTGCTCATTACGGGACAGCCTCAACCTCAACCGCAGTCGTGATCGACGGGCATTGCAAGGTATAAAGACCTCGCTAAAAGCTGACAGGAAGACATCCCCCCTCATCGGCTTCTATCCCATCTACATCCTCTCCTCACCACCAAATACACAAGTGACAATCATGCAAAAGATCGCCATATCATACACCTTTGTCTCTATCCTCTGTGCAGTTGGCGTTCAAGCAGCAGCCATTTCTTCGTACGTTATCCCTCTGAAATTTGGGAATGAAGATCCAACTTAATATCTCTGCTCTCTAGATTGTCCGGTGAAGCATCTACTGGATTCCCAACCGACCTCCCTCTTCCTTCGGGATCCATCTTCCCATCCGGGTCGATAACCGCCTTTCCAAACGCAACAGCGCCGTCCTTCCCAATTCCCACAGCGATCGTGAACGGCATTGCAACATACATTATCTGCCCACCCTTCCCTTCAGGTTCGGATGCGTCGTTCCCCAGCGGTCTTTCGTCCGACCTCTCCTCAAACTTTCTCTCGCCCACCGGCACCATCCCAGACGGCGATTCTTTCCCCACCGACATTCCATCCCCCTCAGGGGAGTTTACAGTAACGCTTGAGCCGACCGCAGGCGCCTTCCCTTCAGGTGTGGTCTTCCCCTCCGGATCCGACGCGTCGTCTGCCTTCCCGACGGGTGCACCTTTCCCTTCCACCTCCTTGCCCTCAGACGCGCTAGTTCCATCAGGATCGGCGCCTTGGAATCCTTGCGGATACCCGTTCCCCAGCTCGTTCCCGGGCAATGGGACGTTCTCCGGATCCTTGCCAATCCCCACTGGCACCGTTGTTCCCGGCACTGGCATCGTGTTCCCGTCTGCAACTTACTCTGTAGAGGCAACGGCCGAACCTAGCACCACGGCCAACTAATCTCTAGGTTTTCGACCGTTGAATGGACGAGATGAGATAGAAGGGGATTTGAGTTGCCTTCTCAGTTGGACTTCTGACGATATGTACTATGATTAACATCGGACACCCCTTACGCTTCCATTAGATACCTCATTGGACATTTATCAATAACCGGTTGTAAACCCGGTCGCTAGCATGTATACCGCAAATTATAGACGGACCGTGGACGAGTACTCGAATCTTTCTCTTCTCCTATACCATCTGAATAGATTCAGAATCAAATCTATACATCAGTATACATTCCACTCCGCCTGGGAAATATTAATAAAGGAGATATTTTCGCCATAACAAATGACCGTGAAGCACAGTCGACTAGCGATTTGAGCGCTTCTGGCGCCACAGTTACCTGCATCAACTCCACGACAAAGTCTAGATCCAAGTTGACAGTATTGAATAACTTTGGCCAGACTAACACCGCTGAAGGCGCTGGTTCTATTTTCAACATAAATGGCTCGGCATTCTTTTTTTCCTCCTCAATCATAATGTCTTTCCGTCCAACGCCCATGTTGTTCAACGCTTCGTCATACGGGAGAACATCAGAAACCTGGTCTGCGATGGCCCATGAGATACGCACCATGGTGCGGTGTATAATTCCTATTTCAGTTCACTATTCTGAATTGCTGAGGGATTTCTCTCCTCGTGCTTGACGTCCACTAACTCGGCTGGAAACGAGACGGCGGCCGTGCACCGTCTCCACTGAACAATTCAAAGCCTTGGTGTCGCGCTAGGGAGCTTTGAAGCCTAATGTAACTTCCGCAGTGGAAGCATCAATCTGACCCCTAAAGTAGAAGTCGGTCTTTCCTGAAGCAGCTGCGCTGATGAATCGGTTGGCCGCCAAGAAACCGGTGTTCATGCCTCTGACATCTAGGCCAAATATGTGCGCCTCCTATATGTTGGACCTCACCCTCTTGCTACCACTTACAAGTTAGCCACGAACGCTCTCGAGCAGCGTGCCAGACGCCCGAGTGCGCAGCGGTGCCTTGTTCCTCTTCCCCATCCGTCTGCGTCTCTGTCAGACATGGACGTCGCTGGCGCGGCCATGCAGACGTTTGTGAAGAAGGTCGTAGCTACGACGTGCATAAAAGTCGGTGTCGTTCTTCTCTGCGCCGAATAACTCAGGCTACATGTGACTATCGGCGAATTTCAGATGGTTAACGGTGCGTCGCGGTGTACGAAGTTCAACTTGAATCTCAAACTAGAATTGTCCATCCACCGACTACAGTCGCGGCCTTCACACTGTTCTCCTACGACTACCTGTTGACGCTGGGGATGGAAGTCAAACACGTCTGGCCAGGAGCGTGGACGCCCGTCAAGATCGTTTACCTGCTCCAACGTTACCTCCCATTTATCGACACACTGTTGCTAGAAGCGCAAAGTCAGTCCTGGTTCCGTATGAATTCGATGCATGTTTCGCGCTAACGGGAGCGATCCGCCTTTCAGTCTCTTTCGCTCAGAATCTAACCCTGAAGACGTGTACGATCCTTAGCAATGTGGGTAGATCGATGGTGTTTGTGGGGTTGGCTTCGTCGGAGAGTGCGTGTATTCTCCTTCTGGGCTTACACAGCACCGCGTGTTTCGAACTCATTTCCAGTCCTCCTCGCGATACGAGTGTGGGCCGTATGGAACAAGAACGAACTACTATCGATCTTCCTCCCCGTTGCCTTTGCCGCCTGCTTTCTACCCCACATTCCAATCCTCTATTTCTTCCTCACTTCTATTCAATGTGAGGCCTTTCTTCTAACAAGGATCCCGTGGTTGATTTTATGGTGCCCTTAGTCGGCGTTGCTCCATGGCCGTTGTTTGGGTGTTTCGCGGTGTCAGCGAATCCGATTATTTTCGTCAACTTTGTGCTATTGCTAGTCTGGGATACTCGTAGGTGGTTTCTTCTATTCCTTCCATTCGTTCAACCTCATCATCACGACTTCTAGTTGTTTTAATCCTGATGCTCATCCCTGCCTACAAAGCCTGTGTGTTTCCCTACTAGCCCAACTAAAACGGGAAAATTGACCATCGCTGTCCGGCGCTCCAGATCACGACAGAGGCTACTCTGCGTTGTATCATATAATCTATTCTCAAGGCAAGCCGAGCTAATGGGTCTTTATTGCTAGTATCATTGATGGTCTTTCTCGGACAACAGGGATTGTATATTATTTCTGCATTTTTGGTACGTTTCATCACGGTTCAGAGCTTTTCATAGTTAAAACTGGTCCTGCAGCTGTGACAACGATCCATATCTTTATGCTCCATTTAACATCTGTAAAATTCTATTTCCTCAGCCCCATCCTTCGAAATAGCTGACACTTGGTGGCGAGTAGATCGACATCTCCTATCGATTTCTCTTAGTGATGTACGTGCGCCTCTTCCCGAAACCATGATCGTAGGAACTGAAGGTCTTTCTAGACCAACGCGCTGTCTACATTCGCTCTTCGCAAGCCGTGCCTTGTTACATATTCGCGTCGCTGCCGCACCGGAATGTGAAGACATCGCGCTTGAGGAATTTATGGTAGCAGAAAATCCTCGTTATCCTACCATGCTTCAATCGCTTAGTGTGAGTCATGTATAGTACACTCTCAGTAGGCTAATAGAATCACTGGCCCAGACTCATAGTCGTGAGTACTGACGAAGTCTCCTTGCGCTGATTTTAATATGTAAGCCATCCACACACACACTTAATCGAGTCCCCTGTCTTGAGCACTTGAGCACTCGACTGCTGATAGCGCTCATGTCTTGTGGATCTTCGGACGGCAACTGGCAAATCGGAAATTTGCATGTAAGTGCATCGTTCGAATAGTTGACATGATTTCCTGGGTCCCACTTCCTGCACTTCAAGCTTCAAGGGCCTTCGGATAACAGTGATGAGTCGATTGGTCTCATTCAGGGTCTGATCCCGATGACTGACAGCTGGCAGGATAACCCGAAATGGACAAATACAGACCATAGTGCGCTCCCGCCCCAGCGCATCAACACCAGAAGAGATGGGCGTCGGGAGGACCCAAAACACCCCGGGATCGGATATTCAATGTGTAATCGCCGTGTGAGGACACCAGCGCAGTTGCCGGCGACACGGGCCGCAGGCCACAAGCGGTGAGCATGAGAATCTCTCTAATCTCCCTCGAGATTTCATCTAATTTGTGTCGTACAGCTTCCCACTCCAACCAACTTTCCGGCAAATTGTACTAGACCGATAGGAATGTCTGTAATAAACGTATTAACAGGGAAAAATGATGCAGCGCTCAACAGTGTGGTGCGCTTGAGTCCAAATGCGATGACGAGCGCTTGTTTAATGGCTGTGCGAGTCGTCACGCAGCTCTTCGAGAGCGATTTGTCTTCCTAGCTGAGATTAGAAAGATCACAGAAGCTATGCAGATACTACATTTATAAATGTGCTATAGGCACCATAGTGGATTTGTGGATCATAAAGAGGGAAATTTCGTCTGAAAGATATTTCAGAGGGGGAGGTGTGCCGGCAACACTGACCGCCATTTGATCGTGTATATCGAAGCTTTTTTTTGAAATAAATTGCCGTCTTCCTGTGCGTTGGTTTCACCCATGAAGTAGTATATTTTTCTCAGCTGCTAGTAGCGTAGGACATGCAAACCTTGATCTGAAAAGAGTGAGGATGCACGGGAACCTCGTGGTATTCCGTCCAGTTCATGTTGCAGGGCATGGTACGCAAACTAAATTTTATTCAACGGTACTAAAGCGATATACACGTGCGTGGGTGCCATTGCCTCATCACCCGATCCCTTTGTCACTTCTCTACACTAGTCCTCGTTAAGCGCCCACATTTCATAGCGCTTCGCGCCTTGTATCATACTACCATTCCACAACTTTGAATCACGCGCTTGGCCCTTGTGTAGAGGGACACAAGTTCAGCCACGGTGCCACTGAAGTATGCAGGCAAGAGCCAGCAAGAAGCTCTTATTTTCAGTCTACATATCTAGCCTACAGTAGTAACGGCGATGCAGCCTCGGGCCTTGGCAATTCACGCACGGCGCCAACCAGAACTCGCCGGGCTGACGGGCTTCCTGGGGTCTGCAATGTGCCTCGTGTCATACCTGTCCCGCCTCCCATCCATTTTCGGCGTGATCCCCGGAATGTTCAGGGAGTTCAGACCCTGAATGAGACCAATCGACTACATACGCACTCTTCGGATAAGGGCGCTTGACAATGTGCCGTCGGTTTCTTAAAGGAGCTAGTGCGTTCTAGAAGATGGGTCCTGAAAGTGAACAAACCGTCCCACCCTCTCGTCCCACCCTCGCCTCCTATTATATAAACCTTGAACGACGTAGACGGGAATGGTTTCCTTTCCCACTGCCCACTGCCCCTTCAGTTGCTCCGTTCGTTATCCAACCGTGGGCCTCTCTCTGACGGCGACAGTTGACTCCCTTCTCGCAACCTTGAAGCAGTGATCGGTAGAGGTGGTTTTCGAAAGACGAGTTGATCATAGGTGCGTGCCGACGAGCGCAGTTGGTTCCATGACTGACCTTCGAATGACCCAGACGGAACCGAATCCGTCAGATTAGGTGAAACCTCGAGTATCAAAAACAGTGAACACTTCATTCTCGTCGTTGGTCGTGACCCTTACGATGGACGCCGTCAACGCGACGGCGCGCGAGATCGAGGAATTCGAGACGTTTACGAGGGCCGCGGTTCGTATTCCCCCTCCCCACCATTATTCAGCTACAGTCTAAGAAGATGTGTGGTTCGCGTCGTTTAGATGGTTGATGGTACGTCGACCTTGGATATTCACCCCCATCAGGTTCTAATTGAATCTCCCATGGTTGAAAGTTGCCGCCTGCGCACTCTTCGTTTTCGACTATCTCCTCACGTTCGGCATGGAAGTTCAATACGTCTGGCTGCGACCATGGACGCCCATGAAGGTCATATATTTTCTTCAATGCTACCTCCCGTTTATCGATACTGTTTGGTTAGAGGTCCAACGTGAGCAAAGGGCTGACATTTTCTATTCCTCGTGCACCGACTGACAGACAGCCTTAATGTACCTGGCTGTCGCAGTCCGCTTCACTGAGAGCCCCAGCATCAAGGCCTGTACCCAACTCCGGATCGCCGCAGTCTCCCTGATGTTTGTGGGATTGGCCACTTCGGAATGTTTGTGGTTGCTATTTCATCTTAGCTTCTGCTGACACGCATTTTTGGGAATAGTGATCCTCGCTCTCCGAGTGTGGGCTGTCTGGAACCAGAGCGCCATCGTAACGATCCTCCTGCCCATCCTCTTCGCCGCCTGTTGGCTACCGCACATACCAATCCTCTATTTCTTTCTCAACTCCTACAAATGTACGTCCTTTTTTATTTATTGCAACCAGTATCATCTATGAAACCTCTTCCAGTTGCTGTTCCCCCCCCACCACCATTGTTTGGTTGCGTCGCTGTTGCAGCAAGCGAAATCGTGTTCGTGAATTGGGTGTTGCTTTTGCTATGGGATACTCGTACGTCGCCCAACTGATGCTGAGTGATGTTCCTCGACCTAATATAACTGCCTTCAGTTGTCCTGCTCCTTATGCTCATTCCAGCGTTTCATGCTTGTGCGTCCTTGCTCCACCCGCTCTTGAGGACGCTAATCTAGGGTGTTCGCTGCAGACAGTCTTAATGGCACCTCTGCTCTGTACTACATCATTTACACCGAAGGTATGCCCTCATTTTACGCATAGTGTGCGTCTTCTGACTCAATGTGCGGGCCTCTAGGTATTCTGTACTATTTTTGCATTTTTGGTAAGCTCGAAGGCGGTTGTGGTTTGGGCAAGGCTGATCGTCGCCCTCACATCATTAGCTATGTCAACAATCAATATCGTTCTCCTTCATATTCGATCTGTAAGTCGATCTTTTGTAATGGTATCTCATAGCGTTGACGGCGAATAGATCGCAATCGAATACCGATTTATGTTCGTACTGTAAGTCATCGTCTTCTTTTGAAGAAGATGTTGGGACTGAATGTGGCCTATTCAGGATGACACGCTTCCTCCACTCACTTCTCGCATCTCGTGTCTTGTTGCATATCCGAGCGGCTGCAGACCAGGATGCGGAACATAGTATGGAGGTCGAGAGTATCACTGCTTCTATAGACGCTCTCACTGCTGCCTCTCGGGACGATCGAGCTTCTCCTCGGACTAGTAGACTTAGTCGTTGGCTGTGTCGGAAGGGCGTTTGATTCGTGTATTCAACCATAGATGAAAAAGATACCCGTCGTTCTATAGCAGGCGTGTCGATCAAGAAGATTAACATATAAGTTAGCTTGATTGTAGGAAAATAAACCTATCCGGCGTCCGAGATTCAGAATTGCTATGGCATGTTTCATAGCTAGCTCTGGCCTTATCCCTATTGACTTGCGAGTACTTAAATAAAGACACCGAGCCGGTAAACGATAAGATTAGATAAATTGTGGCTTTCCCAGTGACAGATCATAAAACTGCAAAGAATTGAAAGGCGATGGCTCAAGCAATCGTACTTGGTGTGCTTAGATGTTTGTTTTCTGCTGAATTGAAAGCCAGCCTCTCGAGGACCGAGGACACGGGGTCGGCCTCTTTGAACAAGATTTCGATCAAGTTGCGCACTTGGGTTGCAGCAAATCTTCGTATTCACAATTGGCTGGGCAATTATACGATGAGGATATACATAGTTTGATTCCAGCATGTTGCCATAGGCTTGTGTGTGTAAACGGGTATGCAAAAGGCGTCGTAGAACAGGGTATGGTTGTGAGAAGAGTAGGAATGTCTGGTGAACTGATTGAGCATTGTAAGCCAGGAAGGAATGGAGAATCAGGAAAGCCGTAAAGGTCGGGGTGTCAGATAGAATCCACTTGAACGTACGTTGACTCTTCCGTCCACATATAAACGTTTAAACACTGACCTTACGCTCTCGCAGCCTCCAACAAGCTTCACTTGTCAGGACTGCACATTCCTCCGTTCCTCTACCGCTTTGTCCACCCACCGCGTTAGGACTGCTTCCAGCATATCATCCCATCCGGGCTCTCTTTTCGCAACAACTGGCGGGTCAAATAATATTGGCGGCTCGCGATCGTCCTTGCCTCTGGGCCCAAACGCGAAGCGTGTCTTCGTTCCGGAAGGCGAGCTCAAAGGCGTGTTAAATGCCGAACCCGGCGTAGGCTGCATAGCAAGAAGGTGCGAAGGCGTTTCAATTGGCAGGGTGTACCGGATTTTCAGGGCCCTGTTGACGTATGAATGAGCAAGAAAACCCGTAAAGCTGGTTTAAGAACGTACCCAGCCCAAAGTCTCAAATTATCGGTCCTTCTGAATGTCCACACCTTCTTTCCACTAGCACCACTCGCCGCATCCTCCTCTCCCCCAGCACCGCTTGTTTGAGCAGCCTTCTCGAGCGCAATGATGTCGTGTATCCCATCTTTGCTCACAAATCCCCAAGGTTTCTTCGACTTCCTGACAGCAGCGTTGTAAGCGACGCAGAGCAGCTGCCCTGAGGAAAGGCTTGTGAGCAATGCGATGCGATTGTTTGGTGGACCAAGGTGAGGTAGTAGTGTCGATGGGAGGAAGTACGCTAGGAGAGCGTGTGCACGGCCTATGGGCGAAAGCGTGAATGAAAGCTAAACGGAAAATAAATGAATGTCAAACCTAGAGCATCGCCTTCGAAAGTCGTCCTCTTAGCCCACTCCGGCAGCTCATCATCTTCGACAAACTCATCCTCATCCTCATCTTCTTCCTTTATACCGTCCATTTCCTCTGGCTCCTCCGACATACTCATCCCCCTCATCATCATGTCCACCACGCTCGTCGACACCCTCCTCCCAGTATCTAACATGGCAAGATTCCTGCCAGGTCGATTGCCCTCTCCGTCACCCGCGCTGACCCTGCGATTCTTCGCCCTCGAGCTCGCACGGCCCTCACGCTGCCTTCTCACCCTCTCCCAGCCCCTCTCACCCGTCTTGGCCCCGGGTTTCGGCCCACCGTCAAACAGCACCTCATCCACCACATCCAAATACCGCGCCACGACGCCCCGCTCCTTCCTCAACTGCTGTAATCGCACGTCCTTGCGGTAGAGCCACCCACTACCAAGGACGAGCCGCTCGTCCCATCCGTCCCGCTTCTGGCGGTCGTCGTCATTCTCGATAGGGAACCCATCGTCCTCTTGCTCCCAGACGGGCACGGAGTCCGGCCGACCTGGTAACTGGACGAGGGAGAACGACATCTCACCGATGGGGATCTCGGATGTAGATGGGCTTGACCCGGGTTTTGCATTTGAGCTGGAGTGGGCGCCATCGGACTGCGCGTCGTATGCGTCGTCACTGAGTGGGAGGCGATAGGTCTCTTCTAGATGCCGCAGCACAGTGAGCACCTCGATGGCGGCGCGCCGGATCAGCGTGATAGGCTCCTGCGACGCGTCGCCCGCTGCTGCTGGCGTGGATGTGGAGGATGCGAGAGAGGTGGAGCTTGATGATGAACTTGGAAGGTTTGGTCGGAGGGTCTTGGGCCGGAACTGTGCACGGATCGTGCCAACGCTCTCGTCTGGCAATGACAGGAGGTAGTTCCTCGTCGACCGAATCGCGCGTGTCGTCGTCTTTAGTACCTCCAGCACATCGAACGGTGCGTCGAGCTCTTCCCCATCGGCCTCCGGTTGTCGTTGGTCGAGTTTCCAGTCCTGAGCTACCGCGATAACGTCCTCAATCACTACGGGGAGGAGCGAATCTGGGTCCACATCGTAGGTCTTGACATGTGACGAGAACAAGGGGCGAGGAGGCGATGGCACAGCGGGCGATGGCGGCATCATGAGTTCATCGATCCCGCTCATGGATGGGCTCAATGGCGTGTGTCCCTTGACGCCGATGGCGGGCACGAGGCCATAATGTTGTTTCTCTAATAACTGGCTTTAAATCGAGTCAGCAAATAGTTTAAAGAAATTTAAGGAACAATACGTGATGCAGTGACAGAGAAAGCCGTGGACAAAAAAAGGGGGATTAAAGAACTCACTTCTTCTTTGCCTGCAAGCCCGTCTTCGTAAAATAGTGCTGCAAATGCTCGATGCTCCCTAACGCCATCACACTCTCCCGCTTCGCCGCGCTCCTGCTGAACGGTTTCTGGGGCTTGTTGCCCGCCTTCATGTTGGGGTAGAAGGCCGTCTGTCGTCTCGACTTCTTCACAGCGATCTGGTCACCAGAATCTGGCGAGCTTGTGCTTGTACTCGGGTTCATCGTGCCTGTTGGCTCGGGGGTGAGTACGAGGGGAGAATCTGAGGAATCTGAGGCCATAATGGTGCTCTTGAAGCAGTTAGACGGTTATTTGAGGTGTTCAGGGAGAAATTGAGGGGCCCTGTGATGCTGGTGAGTGGTACAAGATGAGGAAGGTGGTCGAGCCATTGGCTGCATTCAACCTGAGGCTGGCCGTGGGAAATTGTGCGGAAGCCTAAAATAAGCCGCCCGCCCAGCGCACGTAGTTGCCAACACTGATGACAGTGATGTAGGGGAACGGAGAAGGGTTTCCCCGGTCCCGAACGCCAGGAGGCTTCGGGAGCAGGTTCGCAAGCTTCTAGAAAGCTATTTCGGGCGCATTAAAAGAAACTGCATAATTATGCACCCTTGCTCGAAGATCTTTTCAAGATTGCCAGTGTATTGTGTTGAAAGGCAGGCGCACGTAGCACTTTTTCTCTGCGATTTCTGATATCTTGAGTTGGGCTCGGACAATGTGATCGACTTGCTTGCACATTCATTCCCCAGAAATAAATTATTTTGTATCTTTTGCCTCGTCTAGAATAAGTAGTATTTGTAAACTTGTGCTCTGTCTTCGTGTTCTCTTTCAGTTAGAAAAACATTTCCTTCAGGTCTGGCGGAATTTCTCATGAACAAAAAAAGATGTCGAAAACCTTGGAAGAGGAATTCGAATTCTGAATTTAATCACATCCAAACATGGTACCTACTCGTGGCCGAAGATCTTGCTAAGTACGAAGTAAAAGTCTATGAGATTGCCGACATCTTAAACTCGACGATATAAGAGTGAAAAGAATGCGCGACGACAGAGAATCAACCAAGGAAATGTCCATCTCTTTCTCGTGTATCAAATAAGGTATCGTAGTCAATGGAGCGAAAAAAGGAAATTAGCGTTACTCATCCCCCCTGCGCCACACGCCGATCATTGTTCCTTATCCAACCACCCGAAAGCGCGAAGGATACTTAGTTCGTCGTAATTGTAGCGGGGGCTGCGGGAACTGTACCGGTTGGTACAGCGATGTAGCTCGTGATGATGACGGTCGGTATGCCATTGGCAGTGCTGGTCACGGTAATTGGAGCACCCGCAGGGACAGTGGAGCTGATGTCCCCGCTATCGAACGTCGGAGCCTGGACAGGCACATCTGGGGTAGGCGCAACGACTGGGATGTCTGGGGTAGGCGCAACAACTGGGATGTCTGGGGTAGGCGCAACAACTGGGATGTCTGGGGTAGGTGCAACAACTGGGATGTCTGGGGTAGGCGCAACGACCGGGATCGAGGCTGTCGGGCTGACGACTGAGGGGGAAGCGCCGGAGGGGAAAGCCGGGGTGGCGGCACCTGTGGACGTGATGGCCGGGGCGGATGGGAAGTAACAGTAGCAGGAGAAGGGGGAGCCGATGGGATACGCGGGACTGGGCACGGCGCTGGACACGACAATCGAGCTGATGGGATATGCTGGAGTGGCGGCGGCGCTTGTCACAGAAGGAATGGCTGATATGACAGAGGACGACGCGAGGCTTGAAGAAACATCATCTCCTGGCGCAGCTGCCGCAACGGGGGTCGACGGGACGCTGGAGGAGACGTCATCAGATGGAGTGGCTGCTACGACTCCAGAGGGGAGGGCACTACATTGAATGGGCGTGATTAAAGAGGGGTGAAAAGGGAGAAAAGTACGGCGACTCACGAAGTAATCGCCACAGCACTGACGCTCAAGGTCCCGAGGGCGGACAGGAGAGCAGACAAGATGACGATCTTCGACATGGTATTAGTCCGACAAGAGGTTGTTTTTCTTGTTTTATACGATGTGAGGAGGAAGAGAACGAAGAGGAGCTAAGGAGGATGCTGAGAGGGTCCCCTTGCGCCAGGTCTTTTATAGCCCCGGGAGCTGCAAGACTTGCGAATAGAGTCGGCCACTGGTGTTCGATTTTTCGTGAAGACGGGCAACATTGCCCTCGCCTTGGATTTGGTGTCACGAACCCGGAGAGTTTCAACGGTCATGTAGGACCGGAAAATGTTCACATCACTAGCAGAATAACTTAGTCGATGTTGACATAACTGCTAATCAGGGTAGAAAACTCGGGGAACATGGGGCTGTTCCGAAGAGCTTCTCTCTATGGAAATGGATACAACTCTTTTGGAGGGCAAGATTCCCGGTAGTGCATTTTTGGCGGTCCGCAGCAGTCATGGAGTGTGTCGCCGTTGTTGTTTCCATCATACGAGCTTGGAGACTTGGAGTTGAAACGCACGTCATCCGGGGAGCCTGTTGCTACAACCTGGCCGATGCGCGTCTCGTCACCCGTTACCTATTAGATAACTATTGAAATATTGACTTGCAAAACCGCAATTCGGGGTCTATCAGCCGCCCACCACCGGCGCTTGCCGACCTCCTTCCAAATATGTCCAATGAGCATCTGGCGCCACGCTTGGCGGTCCTCGCTGATGTGTCGAGCTTTTCAGTAACAATCCAGTTGGTTGGATGTGCAGAGTGTAGAATTGTGCAGATTTTTAGCTATACTTCCAAAGACTATAGCTGTCCGGGCTATGTAAACATTCTTCAGCGAACTGTAAAGGACAATCCCCAACTCCTCGAGGCATTCGTTCACAGCAGCTTCTTTGTCGATGCCAAGCCATAGCGACTAGAATGTCTGGTTCGACAGTGTTACACAAGGCTTAGATCGCACATCTCCCGGCTTCTGGTACGCCTAAGTATACGCGTACGGGCGATTCTGACCGCTAATCATTCCGTTATTTCTACTTCTCGGAGTCACCTTGCATCCGGAAATAAGAAATGTGCGAGCTTCGACACCGCCAACGTCACGCAATCTCATGGTTTTGCTCATAGGATACGTGACTCTCCCGGGCGTAAGTTGGAAATGAGTCTCTGCTTGGGCGTTCTCCGACTACTATAGCAGTCACAACGCCATCCGATTTAGGTTGATCTCCCCACAGAATAATTCTTGTTATCAGCATATGAGTTCCAGATTGGTCTATGAGGCCAAGCCTCTCGCTCCTTGCCGTTGTCCGACATGACAGGAAATGATCATCGGTTCTTCCGTAGAGCCATTCACAGTCTAGTCCAAAGGATGATCGCATGAAGGACATCCTCGCCCGTTCTTCTAAATCTAATTGTCCGATTTCTGACAAACGCCACGACGCGCATCATTCAGATAGGTCAGGATTATATCCCACTGCCCGTACTCAGTATGTTCGCGACGCCTGCGTATAGGAAACCTGACTTTCCAAAGCAAAGCGACGAAGAGTTAACAGAACTGGAATCCTTTCTCAATTCTGTTCAAGTCTATTTCTTCCTACCGCATCTATCCCATCCTTGCCACATTCACCCGACCCATTCTGACGAGATTTATCGTCCTGATAGCCCCTCGCGATTCCACTCCGACCTTGCTCCAGCACACTGGGAGCATCCTCGTTCATCCGCACCTCGAGTCCGCGATACGTGCGTTGCTGCAGGAACTGGCCAGCCGCGCTGTCATCCAGACGGGCGACAGTGCTGTCCTGGTTGCGCAGAACAACAGCAGAGCTACCCGTTTCGACCGGCGTGGTTTCTCTGCCAGCTGGAAGACGAGAGGTAATCAGATATCGTCGTTCACGAGAAACGAGGGACGAGGGAAGACGTACGTCCGTACCGCTTTGCGTGCCTGTAGGTGCCTGTGATCAGAGAGAAGACGGGCTGGTCGGAGTCGTCCGAGTCGTCTTCCTTGCCATTTTCTTGGTGTCCATTGGCTTTATCTAAAGAACGTTTGGGGGTGCTCTATGTCGAAGAATGAGGTGTGACGCACCTGCTTCTGAAGAGTCATTAGCGAGGATCTTCCCGAAATCAAGGACGTATCGTCCCGTCCAACTTTGCTCAGCTTGCAAGGCGATCTCAAGCTCGTACGGCGTGATTATTGGTCGTAGGAACTCCTGTATTCAGAAGTCAAATCGTTCCATCGTTAGGAATGAATAGAGAGAGTTTTACCTTGGCTTCGATCAGGCTGTTCTCCGGACATGCAACTAGCACAAAACATTCAATTTCGAGAAAGTTGGCCAGTTTCGCAGGATTGAGCTTGCCCACACTGATCGTGTAGCTCTTCTTCTGTTTTCTGGCGAGAAGGGCACGGATGTGTTTGATCAGCGGTAGATACGAGGCTATATATGTGGCAACGTCAGGTCATCACAATCCACGGGAAGGATGTTGAAATGCCTACCAACGCCAAGGGTGCCAACGAGAATACCGAAGACGTCTGCGTCTCGCGCTTTTTGGACGACGGCGTACCGGCGCATAAGGAGTCTATTGGTGCGACCTGATTCTAGACGTGCCGTCTGTATTTGTGGGTCGAAGGAGTAGACAGGGCAAGAGGAGTTGGTGATGAGGAGATTGGTCAACCCTAAGCTTTCGCTGCCGACGTAGAATATGGCCGTGTTTTTAAGGGCGACTGAGTCGGAGGACGTTAGATAAGATTGGGCCGGCGCTGGGTCAGATTTTGTGGGCATCGCGTGATGCAAGACTGTTAGTCCGGGGAACCTTGACCGCAGTTTCTCGACCAGGGATTCTGAGACTATGATCAGGGCGTGAGGTTGGGTGGGCGGATTTCGTCAATTACCTGCCTGGTGGGTGTACACAACATCATGCTTCAGGAGGATAGCACTAGAGTCGTCTGTCGGTTCAAACACTGATGAAAATTGTTCCACGCAGACGTCGATATCGAGTTGCTTCTTGCCGAAGACGTAGATTACAGGCAGCCGCGATGTTCTTCCAACGAAGAGGGATCCATTGAATGACAGGATATGTACACACGAGCAGATTGACGACGCACTGGCTCATACAAGCATGCCCGTAGTGCACCATTGCATCTGCATCCACATGGGAAGCTGCTACTTCGTCTACGCAACAGCTAAACGAGATAGAAATGCGAGCACAATGCCGTTATAGGCCAAGAAACCGTAAGCCCCGGAGGAAGTTCAAAGAGCCAGAGGTCAGACAAGGAGAGAGCTTTGAAGATGTAGAAATTGCATGCCTGCCGTAGGACGTATCCGCCAGCACATAGATCTCACGTCCAGTCCCGATCTTTCGTTTCAATCGCCTGAAAATGGGCACAGAATCGTGTAGCAATTCGTCGGGGAACTGTAAGGCAATCTGGAAAATAGGTGAGGTCAGAGTGAAGGAATAACAGGGCAAATTCGTACCCGACGGTAGTCGCCCTTCACGATCTCCTCCGCGGTCCTTTCAATCTCGTAGAACTCGTCAAACTCTTTTGGAGGCAGGAGATCGGCACTCTCGTCTGGTTTGGCGTCGATAATGCGGGTTATAGCATCCTCTCCTGAAGCTGAAAAAGAGGTGGTCGGCTCATTAGACATTTTGGGTTCGGTTGAAGATTCGGGAGGAGGCTACAAAGGTGGATCATAGTCGCCGAAAATTCAAGTGGTTCTGGATTGTGACGCGGGATTGTGACTGCGTGACCAACGGACCTGACGACGTCCTGAAGTGGCAAGCACGATGCCGGGACTAACTTCGTCAACGTCCTCAGACGTCCCCTACAGCCTCCTCCTTCGTCTTCAGGAATGTCGACACCAAAGGAGCGCCATTACTGGGCTCAACTGCGTGCGGCTCTCACCGCTGGCCAATGGCGCGCCCAGAATCCTGCAAAAGCCTATAACGGCGTTGCAATTTCGTGGGCGGAACTGTTTCGCAAGTTTAACAAGCATTGCAAAGGTTATCAAGATGTCGTCGAGGTCGCGTCGCAAACGCACGCACTTGCTCTGCTGTTGTCTGCGCCTTACCCGGACGAAGATGAAGATGCAGATTTCATGGAGCCGGAGTCATCAGGGGACGGTGCAGGCGAAGATGGAACAGCAACCCCTCGGCGAGGGAAGCTGGACGTTAGAGGAGAGAGTGAGCTTCCAGACAACAGGATAGACGAAGCAAAGACCGGCTACGAGACCCTGAAGTCGTTGGACTCCTCGTCAACCTTTGATGTGCGTTTGTCTTTTCTCTTACGGTGCTTCCTGCTTACATTGTCTCATATCAGACAATCAAACTTGCTCTCGCATATTATGCCTACGCACTCGGAAATCCATCAGACTGCATCGACTACCTTGCTAAAGTTCCCGAACTCCTTCAATTTCTAAACCATATCCCGACTCTTGGCTCCACAAGGTCAAGCACGTCGCAGGGCCTACTCGCCCCATCCACCTATGCTCCATCGACAACGTCATTCTCTGGAAGCTTTACTTCCATTGTTGATACCACAGTCCCAGAAGTTCGCGATGGACGAGGATGGGCTATGGCCGAAACATTTCGTGCTCTTTGCCTTCAAGGTCCTCCTTTCCGGTCCCTTGCCCTTCCGTGCTTGCGTTAATCTCGGTTATAGGCATGTCGCATGAACGCCTAAGCCCATCAACCCCTGAAAAGGCTCTAGAGGCATACGCCATCTCCCTGCCACTTTTCTCCTCTCTGCAATCTGAATTCAGCCACAACGCCCTCCCAAAGTCATCCGGGAAGTTTGATTTCACTGTGTTTCAGCAGCTGCGAGAGGTGTGGAGATGGGTTGAACGCTTGCTGTGGCGGGCGGTCATCTTGAGTTCGCGGACGAGCAATATCCACGCAGACTCCGAACGAGCATCATTTGACTTGTGGATATGGTTAGGCCATTACAATTCATGCAGCGAATACTGGCCGTCCTCGTTCCGCACTGCTCATAGATCAACAATATCGACCATTCACCTACGTGCGCTCATCCTCCGAAACGGCGCATTGTCACCGTTGCCCGTCACCTACTGTTCTAAACGATTCCACTCGCCTTCGTCAACGAACACCGTTACACCTGCCCCGACCTCAGCTACTGCTTCGGCCAACCAACTGCAGTTGTTGACAAGTTCGACGACTTGGTTGCATGCAGCCCGTTCAGCAATCCAGGATTATCGTGCCATTCTGACAGCCAGCACGAAATTTCCACGGGCAGGCGAGAGGAACGTCAAAGTCGAGGAGTTTGTCGATCTATGCGTAGCCGTATGGGAGGCAGGTGGAGCCAACGGCGAGCAGGCAGGCTGGGTCATTGATGTACGTCGCACTTGTTCTTGCGCGTCGGAATTGTACTGACGACGAATAGATTCTATGGTGGGCAACCCGTCTAACCTTCAACTCATCCCGTATCCTACGGCATATGACACGGCTGCTGCACCTTGGTGGTGACACCACATTGGCGAAGCGGACTTTGAAGCTGTACATCCAAGTGGTCGGGAAGGCGTACCATGCGAGCAAGGAAGGCGTTAGAGAGGACAAGGACACGGACGAATACTGGGTCGACACGCTCGTATTCGGTGCACGGATGCTGTGCAAGAGTGCAGCAGCTTCACCTGGACTGGAGGGTATCGATGACGTCAAGGAAGCAGGCACAGTGTTGGAGAAGGCCAGGACGAGGCTTGACTCTGAGAACAAGGTCCTCGTTGCGAAGGTTTTATTGGCGGAGGGGATCTATTGGAGTTTGTTGGCCGTGAAAGGTATGGCACTTGCAACCCTTCTATCTGCTTCAAAGGCCTTATAAGAGACGCTCCTCAAGGCCAAGAGCCATTAGACCGGTCTGCCCAACTCGAAAAAGCACATGTTGCCCTACAACAATCACTCCTCGCCCATTCGACACCACCTGCGTATTATCACCTCGCCCTTTCCTATGCACGCCGTGGAGGACCAGTCCACGATCTCGAGCGTGCTATTGAATGTGCAGGCCACGCCGTCGAGGGGGAACCGAAGGAAGTTCGGTATTGGCATCTCCTAGGGCTGCTCCTAACGGCTGCAGAAAAGTGGGATGAGGCGAAGGAGATTCTGGAGCACGGTGCCGAGCTGGATGTCGAGGAAGAGATGGCCCCTGAAGCTGCTGCCAATGGGAATGGAGAGGCGGCGAGTGTTCAAGACGACAATGGTGCATCAACCACGACGGTGACGCAACACGGCGACACCATAACGCTCAAGGTGCCAGAGATGGAAGGAACCGTCCAATCGAACAAGATCGCTGTATCTGCCTCCCTCAAAGCTAATGGATTGACCAACGCCGCGTCTAAGGCTAAACCGAAATTGAACGGCTTATCGGATCCCTCTCCTCCCAACACAGCCGGCTCATCATCCTCTTCATCCTCTTCGCCCATCGAATCGAGGATACCAATATCTGTGCTCGACCCTGATGCCTGCGAACTGCCACTTGCCGACCACCTATTACGAAGATCGGAGTTGACATTCGAACAATACCCACCGTCCAAAGCAGAATTGTTTGAGTGGCATCTTCAGCTACGGATGACCCAGGTTGGGTTCATGGAGGTATTTGAGGGTGCAGAAGGTGCCGAGCAGGGTTGGTTGGATGTATTTGCTTGGGTGGCTGATAAGAGAGGGGCTGCTGCTACAGCCGATGGTAAGCGTCGGCTTCCCTCTTTCTGATAAGCCTCGGATTCAACGTTTTTGTCTGGTGGAATAGGTGCATCACAACCGCGACAATCGCTCGATGGCCTACGTCGCTCGATGGATCGCCTGAGCGCCAACCCGGCAAGCATTGAGAAGACAATAGCTCCTCCGTACCATAGCCTACCAAATGGCTCGAGCGAGGCTGGTCCACGACAATCATTGACGGTGCCGCCCCCAATACCGATTATGATCTCGCCAGCTACACCAGACGCGGAGACGATGGATGTTCCACCACCGCCTGCATCCTCAGCTGATTCAATGCTGGAACGAGAGAAGGAGGATAGAAAGGAAAAGGAGGAGAGGAAGGAGAAGAAGTCTAGTGGTCTCCATCCAAAATCAAAACGCTCTTCGTCGATCGAACGCGACGGCCGTGGAGATACCTCCAAGTCGAAGAAGGTTGGGCAGATGCTGAAGAACAGGGTGGACAAAGGACGTGCCGGAATCACAGCGGTCTCAAGGAAGATCGGGCATGGCGTTGTTAAAAATGGTCCTTTGAGGAGGTCCAGCTCAACTCCAGGTGTGTATCATCATTTGCACAACCGAATCCAATGGCGCTCACCTGTCACAGACTTTTCCGTCGTCTTCCAACAAACATCCTATCAAGCCTCGTCCATCCACTCAAGACGTAGGCTGAGCTCTATCATTCACTCCCAAGACCGGACACCCAACGATTCTCCTCCTCCTCCACCTCCTCCTTCCGTGCCTTCTTCCAATGCGCAGGATTTCAAATTCAGGAATAATCGCTCGTCAAGGGAGAACAGGCTACTGAGCGATCTCTGGCTGATGTCTGCAGCAACCTTCCGGAGGTTGGGCAAGATTGAGCAGGCGAAGGGATCGATTCAGGAGGCAGAAGTCAAGGATGAGAATAATCCGAATGTTTGGGTTCAGGTGCGTTGGTCTTTCTTCCACTACCGGCTGTTAGTTGACTTTGATTTCTAGCTTGGGCTGTACTATGTTGCACTTGGACACTATCGCCATGCTGTCGACACCTTTCAAAAAGCCCTCTTCATCTCCTCCGAAGATGTTTCTGCGACCATCCACCTATCGCGGCTCTACCTAGACCCAGACATCAGCACTCAGCTACGGACGCCACCCAACGCAGCAACGTCCTCTGCATCATCTATTAACTCCAACAGTGATGATTCTTTTCCATACCCGGACGTTGATCTAGCCGCTGGTATCCTTGCCCATCTAACGAAGGGCCGAGGATGGGATGTACCTGAGGCCTGGTACTTCCTCGCGAAGGCCTATGGCATTCAAGGGAGGAAGGTGGAAGAGCGCGATACCTTGAAGTTCGCCCTCGAGTTGTCGGAGAAGCGGGCTGTTCGGGATATTGGGTTGGCCCTTGGCTGGTGCATTTGACATAGAGTATAGGGTTGTCCGTGGAGCGTGGCTGCTCCGACTTCACGCCGACACTGGTTTCGCTTCGTTCGTCATTTGGCTTTTTCACATCATTCACATACGGTCACCACTATCCTGGCTAATCATCTGTTGCAATATACTAATTTTCATCTGAAGGACATGAGGTGTGGCCGACCGTATTTCTTCAGCTTCCAGCCTCAAGCGATCATGATCGATCACGATCCTGGCTGGTGGCTGACACTTTGCTGAAGACAGACTATAAGTAAATCCCTTCATCCGCGAGCCGCTCTACGTCGTCCGTCGCGTCGACCAACGACGTCATTTTACTCATCCGTTCCTCTGACAGGTCCAGCGCCGGTCGGCCTCTTTTATTGACCTCTCCAGGACGTATTGTTGGTGGCAGGATCCATTCACGATGATAGCGTGGTCTATCTTTATTCTCGTAGGCGCGGCGCTGGTGGAGCTGTCAGCCGCACAACAGCTGAGCATTTCGGTGCAGGCCTTAGGTTCGTCTTCGTCCTGCTGCGAGAGAATCGTACATCTGAAGCCATCTACCCAGAGCCAGCACCAGGGAAGCCAACTGGCCTATCGATCGTCAATATTACCGCCCGGATTACAAACTTAGGGCCCACACCTTTGACTCTTCTGAACGACCCAACAAGCCCGCTGACCACCTTCCCGACGAACATCTTCACTTTGGTCAACCAGAATAACGGCAGGCAGCCACAGTTTGTGGGTGTAGCCGTCAAGTTTGCGCCAGATATCGCTATTCTCAATGGCCCATTCACCTCGCTGGGACCGGGTGATAGTGTCGAGGTCGTGCATGACTGTAAGTTTTGTCACAGTCCGCAACTAGCCACCCACATTAGCATACGTTGCAGTGGCCAACGCCTACGATTTTTCAGCCTCAGGACCCGGCACATACACTATCGACATCTCGCCGACCTTCTTGGCTTTCAACGTGTTCAACCAGACCTTCTCTCTTATTGCTTCTGCCATTTCATCTGTCTTATCCCTCACCAACACGGTCGACCATGAACTTCAAGCACCTGTCGTTCTATCTACGATCTCAAACGACACCACCTGGCCTAAGAAACGCCACTTCGTCAAGCGTGCTAACTACGTTGAGTGCAACCCGCTCCAGCAGATATACATACAGCAGGCTGCCAAGGCTGCTCAGAATTACGCCTACGAGGCCTACACGTACACCAGCGAGAATATGGACACGGAAAGCCCTCGATACCTGACCTGGTTCGGCGCCTACAATACTGAGAGATACGATACCATTTCCACCCACTTCAGCAACATCAACGCCGACGACTTCACCTCCTTTACGTATTATTGCGATTGTCTCGACCCTACAGCATACGCGTACGTTTCTCCTGACAAGTGAGTCTCCCTTCGTACTTAAGAACTGTATGGAAGTCTAAACAATTGTATTGCGATTTCCAAGATACGGAGAAATACACCTTTGCAATGCTTTCTGGCTTGCACCAGCCACAGGAAAGGACTCGAAGGTAAGCATTTTTTACTTGTCGCTTTTATTTAACGCCCTTCCTATGCTATTCAATAGGCTGGAACATTCATACACGAAGCTTCGCATTTCACAAGGAACGGAGGTACGCAAGACGAGGCCTACGGCACGGACGCGTGCCAAACTCTCGCAGCCAACAATCCTGCAAAGGCCATCCAGAACGCTGACTCACACGAATACTTCGTCGAGAATCCTACTGGGCTTGCTTAGATCTTCCATTCCATCGCAGTTTTCTGCCAACCTGAAACGGTGGTGCGTCCGCGCGGCTCGTTCTCGCTCATTACACTCGTGTAGTCTCGTCCCATGGGGTGGTAATGCGAGTCCACTGAATGTCACTTACTTTCTCCGCATCTTGCCGCTTAATCCATCATCCAAGAAATAATATCTCATAAACCGTAGTTCGAAGAGGTTTGTGTCGCGCTCTGATGACACGTTCGACTCGTAATAGTGGCGATGTATATGGCAACGGTAGTCCAGCTTCGAGCAAAGGTCTCCTTCAACCCGCTCTGCCCGTCTATTCGATTGCCGCAGTGTCGCCAACAGCAGCAAACGTGCATCCTTGTGACCTATAGGTGTTGGTCAAGCTTTGCCCCCGCGGCTGCCATAAGCTTTTGCAAGAAGCCCTATAAATACAAACTTGAAGATCGAATACACGTACGCTAGAGGTTCTCGATTCCCTGCTGACCTCGGTAAATATGAAAGTCACCATAACCTCGCCTTAATTTAAGATCTAGTAGGGCAGTAGCCACTGTGCGCCACTGCGCCACATCAATTTAAGAGTTTCCTTGTATGGAAGAGACCATCAAGGGCACGCACTTTCTAATTACGAACGCGAGTCGCTCTCCTTTCGGATCTCGAAAGCAACTCAGAGCTGGAACAGCGTACGGCGCCACAGGCCTAGTACGACCGATTTACAAATACAGATGAAGGCTAAGAGTTAGACATTAAACGTTAAACGATCGGACGTTGCTAGTATAATGATCAAGCTTTTTTATGATGAGTCGAGGTTTCGAGATCAGCACTGATTGAAAGAATTTCAATAAGGGAGACAATCACGACCATGTGTAGAGAAGACATACTTTGAGGGTGCACACGTGCATGAAAGTCAAAACCGGTACAAGCTCCGGGGAGGATTCACTCGAGTGAGAGTAGGAAATAAACATTCAGTTCAATTTTTCAGATAGACCATGAGTAATAGACATTGCACGTAATCCTGGCTACCGCCCTAGCTTAGGAGTTCGTTCCGGTAGCTTGATGATACTTTCAACGCTCTGAATCGACGCCTAATAGCTTGATCTGATTTCCGCATCTTAGGGAGTGTCCTCTGAATGGACAATCGATTGGGTGCGGCGATGTGGCGTGGTCGGCTGGTACTCCGCACCTTCTAACGCATGTCTAAAAATTGTGCAACTTAGTGAGAGAAAAGTAAATTGGGGGCCCCTAGAAACTGCATAAATACCCCTGCCTAGGGAGCAAAGTCCTCATCCAAACGCACTCACCTTAACGCAACATCCAATCGCACAAATACTATGGACACCAAGGCATATGCCCAATGGGTGATCATCGTCCTTCACAACGTCGGTGCGAAGCCTTTCAAGGTCAAGAACCTGAACGCGTCCTGGGGAAAGCTCTATGCCGACGGTAAGTCTTAGTCTCGTCGACGGGCGTTCTGGGAACATCATAATCCTCTTCCTACCGGTAGGTGACAAGGACACAGAAATCAGTGCAAGCAACTACAATGGCAAGACCGTCGGACCGGACGACAAGCTCCAGATCAACGCCTGTGGCAGGGAGCACGCTGCCGAGGGCACCACTGGGTCCTTTGACCTCGTCGACCCGATAGATAGTGACAAGATCATCCGACACTTCTACTGGGACTGCCCCTGGGGCAGTAAGCGAAACACCTGGACCGTCAGTGGATCCAACAGCAAGTGGATGATCGAGCATCAGGGCGCGAACTTGGACAGCGGTGCGCTCGGCACCATCACGGTCGATGTCCTAGGCAAGGGCAGTTAGGTGAGTGTGCGTCTCATCATTCTCGTGGGTTGTGAAATTTGACCCATAGAGTGCAGAGTTGCCCCATGGATGTCTGCTGCGCATGCGAAGACTCTTACCGGAATATGTCGAATAAATCAGTAAGAAAATGGGGATATTAAACGAAAAAAGCACGAATTTTGGTCTCTGCTTAGTCGTAGTCGAGGTAGTAGCAGTTTGAGGTGTATTCTTGAAATTTGATGACAATGTATTCAATTGATTGGCTACAATTTACTTTCGTGCATATAATCTAATCTAGCCTTTCGGCCAGACATTCCCACGAAAACCTGATACCAGTCTCGACGATCCCAACTCTTTTCAAGTAGCAACAACTTCTTGTCTGCCGCGATCTATGGATTTCAGATTTCTGTTGCTCCCTGTTACCACAAGTTGGAATATTTCGCGCCCTGCTATGCCCCTATCATGTGCGGAAGTAAAAGATCCTCAACAAGACAACCCCCAGCGAAGGGAAACGAATCAGCGATTGTCCGTTTTCTCCATTATCTTCGTACTCCCCAATATTGGAGGTCTTTTGGTCCAATCGCTGTTGAACGGAAAGAACGACGCAGCTCTTTGCCGCCCGGTTGCAGAAATCTTTCTCTCAAGTTCGGATAATCACTATGAAGCGGAAGATGGACGACCTGTCACCCCTGCGGCTCTTGATCTCCGATTCCTGTTCCTCGCAAAAGGGCACGGTTTGGTTCAGACTCAGAGTCCGACGAGGAACTTGGCGCAGCATTTGACATCCATACGCAGCCTCAGTTGCTGGATGTCGACGATTCGAGGGAAGACGCTTCGGACACCGGGGAGATAACGTTAACGACACGTGAAGCGAAAGATACGCTCGACGAAAGTCAGCAGAGTATTGCCCGAGATTTACCTGTAGGCTCTTCAACGGTAGGCATTTTTTTCTGTTGGAAAATTAGATTACCTAACCTATCGTGTACACTGATAGGTATCGAATCGCGACATCCAGACTGGTCCTTCCTGGCCCTTCCCTGACACCGCATCCGACAGTTCCTCCTGGATATCCTCCCGTTCTCCTTCGCCATTTCCGTTGGGAAATGTAGCTGTTACAGGATCGACATCGCAAAATGAGGTGAATCCAGGTCTGCCGCCATCGGCTACGGCGCCAGGCAGATCTTCGACTGCAACGACCCTTCGAGTCATGTATGGCACAGAGCTGATCTACACCCTCTTGATGCACGAACATACCGAGCGGCGATGGTATATCACCAGATGTATCAAGAATATATCGACCATTTCAAAGCAGAATACCGCGCGATCCAAGAGCGTATCGTCAATGTTGAGAAGGTCCGAGTTGAGCAGAGGGCCAGGTCAGAAGAGGAAAAGAAGCGTGAGGCGGAAGAGAAAGGATAAAGGAGGAGAGTAAAGAGCTGGAAAGGATGCTGAGGGCTGACCTGAAGACGGAGAAGGAAAGGCGTGCTGCTCAAGAAAAGAAGTGAAGAGAGCGCGTCTTCCAGCAGGAAGTGGAGGTGTCTTGCAGAAGCTCGTAGTAGAGCGTGGAGGCACCTAGAGAGTCAAAGCCCTGGAGGACCTCGTCAAGAAAATCGAGGATAAGCGACGACTCGAAGATTCCTCTGAAACTCGTCCACAATGCCCGAGGGTGGACACACCCCAAAAAGTCGGCGAAGGCCAGTCGAGGAAGATGAAATTGACTGCGACCGGTACATCGACGGCCCGTCACGTCCGCCAAGAGGATGATTGACAAAATTTAAAAGCGTTAGGCGCTGAAGATATATTTGCGACGCCAGATCAGATCTCTTCCCCGGGCGTGATGTTCTCGGTGGTCAGCAGGTTCTTCTTGCATATGTTGATAGGATGAGATCTGCATCCTTATGGTGTAACACATTTCAAAATTCAAATATTCCTTTATCCAAGCTTTAAATCTCTTTCAGTCTTATAAGGCAAGATGTCCGGACCGGATTTAAAATTCGGACTACGTGATCTTTCTTTCATCTTTCCTCTCAAAGATATATTGTAAGCCTCGAGGCACTGGGCGCAGCATGGGCCAAGGTCGGGTGCGTGCGGGAGTTTTTAAATAAGGAGTTTTATGATCACCTGGGCGTGCCATCTTTTTTTCTGACTCAAACTGCAACGAGGCAGCTACTACTTAAACATGCATCGCAGAGTGGCCAGGCCAATGTACCCTTTGCAATTGTCGGTGGTCAATCGTCTTTCGACAGGTCGTCTCCCGTTATCATCTACTAAACTCGCTGTTGATTAACGGACGTCCTCCTAGGGGCACTATAACTTGGGGCGCCACAGTACCCACAACATTTCCTCTCAATTATTCGCCAATTTAGGTAGCAGATGGCTTCATCGTTTCGACCACTGGCACAAAGACGCCGGCCGTCTGGAGACGTGGAAATGCGATCTGTAAAGCATCGTCGAACTCGCTCGTTGCAAGCGGCATCTCCTTCCACCACCACCACCACCACCACCACCACAGGTGAACCTGGGGAATATACATATAGCCCATTTCCACCTCCACATCATTTCCCGCCTCATCCTGTAGTGATCGGGGGCGTCCCTTCTTCCTTTCAACCCAGAGGAATCGGGATGATGGAACCACCACCTCTACCACCACAAGTCGACGCGAAACGAGCCCCCCATCTTCCACCTCCACCAAATCAGGGCCCTAATGACCCATATGAAAACTCTTTGTCTCAAATTCCAGACCACCGTAGCCCTCACTGGGAGCCATGTTCATGCTGTACTACAGCGCCCGAAGGAAACACCCTGTCATCTCAGCCCGAAGTCCCACCTCCTCCAGCAGGTCATCCGCAGACCGATACACCCGAAGACCCGGGGAAATCCTCATCAATACACAAGGGTGCAGACCTCATACTTGACCTTCTTAACAAGGAAAAGCATTGCCTCGCGGATGTTTTCCAAGAAAAACTCGCCTCGGAAGTGGGAAATGTCAGAAACCAATTACGGCAAATGTCAGCTGTTCATCAAGGGGAGAAATTGCTATGGGAAGAAGAAAGATTGTCTTGGGGTCGAGAGAGAGAGAATTGGGAGCAAGAAAGACTGTCTTGGGAGCAAGAGCGAAGGCAGTGGGACGAGATGCGTCGACAGTTCGATTGTCAATTAAATGAAGAGCATCGGCAACTCAAGGACTTGAAAAAATCCCATGCTCAAGCCAATAAGGTCAACGCGGAGATGATAGAAATGATGCGTAAGTGGAAGGATGAGAAGGATAGCTTTCAGGCCGAGGCAGACGAGTGGAAGGAGAAGTATCGGCAACTGTACGCCCACTGGGAGGGCCGGGAATCACATTGGAAGGAACATCATGAGGCTATTGACAGGGCTGGCTGCATAGTTTCGGATGGCCAGCTCAAGAGGAAGAAGTCGGCGCCTATGGGACTGTATTTGCAGACAGATTTTAGTGCCTAATAAATAACGTGATAACGATGTTCTATGAAACATATTAGTGAGATGGTAAATCATTCGGAAATGCACAACAGTTGTATTTTGCTGAGTTTTAGTGAGTGCTTGATATCCTACCGAAGGGTCCGTCAATACAGTTCACATGACCACGACCATCGTCCTATCGGAGGAGCTTCCCTAAGAGGAGGTCCTACTCCCTGCGCTTTAGCGAAAGCCCTCCTCGAGGCCCTGTACTCGATCCCACCCCGCCAATTGTCGATAGAAGCGTCGCGCGTAAAACCAGCACCAACATGGGGATGCACCTTCAACCCCTGCTTTGAACAAGGTTCTAACACCTCGAATAGTCGCGTTGTGGTCGTCAAGTCTTGGTCGAATAGGCTGAGGCAGATCGCAAATTCCCGAAGTTGTTGCGACAGAGGCAGCAGTTGTGAGGTACGCGAATGAAGCATGGGCTTGATGTCGCCGACGACCACATCCAAGAGCTCGGGAGACATACTGAAGAACCCATGCGATATCGATAACGTCTGAAGATAGGGCAAGATCTCGGGCTTGGAAGCGTCCAGGTGGGTCAGAAGTTTGAACGGCAATGCGGAGAGCGAGATTAGGTTGATACGGAGCCGAGTAACGGAAGAAGCCGCCTGCAGAACTGACTCCAGAAAAGTAATCTCGACGGGTGGAAAACCGCCGAGAGATAGGGCGGCGAGCGTCTTGAGCTGCACGGACGCATGCGCGTTGACATCGTGATTGGGCCCAGTTTCTGTCATGCTACTGGCATGTATTTGCAATACTTTAAGATTTGGGAAGAAGCAAACGTAGGCGAAGTCGAAGTTTCATCTCGCCGTCGACGATGGCGAGGCTAAGTTCTTCAAGGGCGCTATGAGAAACAATCTGTCCGTTTTGGTCGACGGGGTCGTCTTCTGAGAGGTAGAAGGAGGCCGTCTTGAGCGCTTGACATATGAAGATCAGATTCCTCCACGCCGTCAGAGCCATTTCTTGCTTCATGGTCAGGGAGGTCAACGTAGACCAAGAGAATGCCGCTAATATGAGGCCCGCGCCAGGGATAGGTCGATCAAGCACCAAGTGGCGAAGCTTTTCGGCGAACCTTAAAAATCTGAAAAGGGCTGCGGGCTCGTCGTCCATAAAAAGTTCTGTCTCTTGATCATCCGGTGCCATGCATTTGAGCGTCAGAACTTCGAGGTTTGGAAGCTTGCCGCCAAAAAAAGGTAGGTAATCGAAGATCCAATAAGCCCCAATGCTCAGTTTGTGGACATTTTGAAGCATCGGCCAAAGTGCGTGCACGAAATGCTGCATGTCGTGGTCGTTCACTGCTCCATCGTCGTTGATGTAAAGATGAAGTGACAAAGGACAGCTTTTTGCCCTTGGGAACCACTCGTTAACGGAGAGAATTCGTTGAAGTGCATTGTAGTTGACGTCGACCTCTAGGTACATCTCGGACCACAATTGAGGCATGGATAGAGCCGCATTCCTCCAATCTTTGCAGACGTGGGAGAGGGACATAGGCGAGTCCCGGCGCGTCGGCCACGGTTGAAGGGGACGTGCGTGCAGCGCTATTTCTTGGACGATTTCCATAGGGAGACGACGAATTACCGAAAGGACCGCATCACAGGCGTTCAGCTTCATCCACTCCGGTGATGCCTTCTTGATGAGCTCAGCCCTTCGCGTCCGGAGAGCGAGAATCTGGGCATCGAGCGACGCAATCTCGTCTTCAGTGGCGGCGACAGCTTTTGCTTGGGTTTCTCGAAACTCGCGAGTGATAGACACTACCGTAGTGCTGGGTGGTGTATTGTCCTTCAGCGATTCGACTATGGCATTCGGATAGTCGATCTGGGCGTTGAGGGGAAAGAGATGCGTCAGCTTAGAAGGTTTTATAGGGGTATCAGCCGTCAGCAACTGGGAGAGGACAGTCACCTCGAATGCAGGGATATTCCAAGGGATATTGCGAAGTATAGCGAGAGTTTCATCATGAGACATTGAAATCAGATCCTGTGTCGCGGATGGTGGTTGTGGTCAAGAATAGATGGAGGGGCAGCTTCGCCATCCCAAGGGGTTTCCTTTTGCGGAGCAGGACCAAGCGACGACCGAAATGACCGAATGGGTGTCACGTGATGTACAGAGCCGAATCGAGGATGCTTTGCTGCTATGCCAGTCGGGGCTGATAGTCGACAGTCGGGTCCAGACTACGGAGGACTATTGATGCCGTGGTTGTTCGGTCGTCGACTATGTCCCAAAATGGATGGATAGTCGGGTAATGTCATCAGCAGGCAGGAGCACTTAGATTAGATGACAATGCGCTCGTACATTAAATTTTCATTGTTCTACATAAAAATTGAACAATGGGAGGATTATTTCTCGTTGGGGTATGTTTTTCCTCAGTTTCAAGCCTTGGCACCCCGGATTTGAACTGAGTTCTTGCGAGAACAATGTCGATGTGCGGTTGAGCACATCGAGAGCATTTTGCTCGTCATCCTTGGGCAGGTCATACCACCTACTGATCGCCTAGATACTCCCTGTTGTAGGAGGTAGAGAATTTCTCAGATAATTCAGAATATATCCCTCGAACAGTTTAAAAGGCCGCCTTCAGGCCATGGAAAAGAGCAGAAGTCACCTCTCGACATCTCTTCTCTTCTCTTCTACTCTACAATGGCTCGCGGCTGGTGGCGTACCTTCTTTAAGGACCACCCACTTTACGTTGTCAATTCTCGCGCTGCCGATCGCCCTATTGAAGTATGGGGTAATGCTGCGAAGGACAAGATTAAAGTATTTTGCCTAGGGTGTCTCCAACACGAAGTTGCCGTTATTCAAGACCACGAGTTCCGACACGGCGAAGAAGACCCCAACTTCTCCCCACGTACGGAGGAGAACGTAATACTATCTCGTTTGTCAATTAGTCCCTCCTGGTCCCCTTACCCAGCTTGCACTTCATCTTCTCTCGATCTGTCCCAACTCTGCATCGTGCGAGAGGCTTTTCAGTCATTTTGGCTTGATTTTGACCAAACTTCGGACCCGCCTTACCAAGAAGACCCTCGTCAATCTTGCCGAGTACAAGCTCCATATCCGGGACGAGTACCTTCGTGATAATACTCCACATTCGCTCCGCAAACGGCGATTCGGGGTTCTGGCTGAAAAGACGAAGGCAGCCACAGGAGTGAGCACCTCAGGACCACTTCCATCGACGCCAACTGTACCTTCTGGTGGTGATGTCATCATGGCTGAGGTACCCACAGCGGAAGAGGATCCCGCGGCGGAGGCTGCTTCCGAGTCCGGCCAGCTGCAGACGCCGTCAACGACACAAGCTATTCGAGACATTTCTTCCCAGCTCATCTCAATGCTTGATGACGACGATGATTCTGACTATGTTTATCCTACCGGCATCACTATAGGTAGCCTTTTCGATTTCACGTCGACACATTGGGTAGGATCCCAGAGGATGTCTGCAGTGGGGAGCTTGGAGGCCGAGATGGAGTATTATGACATCCTCGATCTTGATGCTATTGGTGACCTGGAACCGGATATTGATATTTGTGAGACTAGTACCTGCCTACCCGACTAAGATAGCAATATATCTACTTTCTTTTGCACTGCGTACAGCATGTTCTAAGCGTCGCCTATCATCTCTCACCTCCCAGTTTGGCTTCTCCTTCCAGAATAGGACCACGACCCTATTGATAGTCGACTTCAGTCGGAATTTCGACCAAGCCCGACTGTGCGTCCCTAGTAACCGACTAAAACCGGCTTAGACGACGACTGGCACATCACTGGCTTTGCATGCTACGTCTGCCGAAGTGTACTACGGAAATGATGACGAAGTGAGACAGGTGCCGAGGAATTTTGGTGATGTTTCGGACGAAAACCCTGGCCAAAACAGTGCACAGAATTGCTTCCGGAACACCCTTGAAATCACCAATTTTTCAATGGACCATCCGGCAACTTCCGGGCCAATAGCCTCTTTCTCTTCTCCCGTAGGCAGTGATCATCAGGAGGCGAGAAAATTGGCCCATACATAGTCTTAGTATACTATAGAATACATGAAGCTCCTTCGAGGAACACGAGGTCCACGGGAGATGTAACTCGTGTCCAGAAATTGCTCACTGGCAGAGGAGTTTGCCCAAGCATCGGAGGCAGACTATCTCGCTGGTCGCCAATGGCATTTGCGACACGTCTTACAGTAAAAATGCAACGGACAATGTAGAAATATGAAACCGCAAATGAGCTTCATTAGGGTATTTTCCGTCCTTTAAATACTCTGCAACTCCCGCGGCTACACGCTACAACGACAACAATACGACAACTATTCTACATCGTTCCACATTTTCGTATTTTCATAGCTTAATCCACAATCTGGCGGTAGGTGGCAACCTGGGCCTTGAGGCGGGTGATCTGTCCGGGCGTGAAGTGGTCCATGCAGGAGTCATCGCTGTAATCCATGTAGTTGTCTATCAAAGCACGCGTCAGCTACTCTCTATATCGAAGATTTGGTCAGATGGACTTACGGATGGGGTCAGCTCCTCCCCCAGGGCAAGTATCCCGACCAACAGGGCAGCCGAAGGCCGGACGCGCCTCAGGAGGAGTGTCAGCGACCTGGTCGCCGACGCCAGCGCATGCACCCTGGAAGGTGTGGTATAGACCGACCCAGTGGCCAACCTCGTGGGTCAAGGTGCGGCCAAGGTTGTAAGGGCTGAAGGTACCGCCGGGCACCGAGGCATGGTGCATGACAATACCGTCGTCGGTCGGGTTCAAGGAGTAGTCGGCGGGGAAGGTAGCATAGCCGAGGAGGTCAGCAGTTTGGCCGACTTCGAAACTGTGAGGAAAAGAAAGTGAGGCGACTGATGAGATAGTAGAGAAAGAGCGATGCTCACCCGACAGTGTAGACGTTGAGCGTGGAAGCACCACCCTTGCGGTAGAGCCTCTTCATCTCGTTCTCCATAGCACTATGGAGAAAGTATCAGCGGATTGACCCCAGCAAAGGTCGAAGAAAAAGCTTACACCGTGTCATAAGGTCCCAACCTGCTGAACCACACAGCATTCTGGATGCGCTGGACGTCGCCGAGGGCAAAGCTGATTCCACTTCCAGCGTAGTCGTCATTCAGAACTTGCATCTGGGCCTCGATTGACGAGTCGCTAAAGAACAAAGCGTAGGTCAGTCTCCCCCATCGATCCCATCCATAGTACATGGACCACTTACGGGACGTAACCCCCATTGACCGTCGTGTCACGGTAGATGATGTTCCAGTGTACGGTGACGGGGGCAGCCTTAGCCAGGAGGGGCTCCTTGCGGTGGGCCTCGAAGTGGGCCTGAGCGGCAGCGAGCTTCTCCTCAGTGATCGTAGTACCGCAACCACGGCCAACGCGTTCGCCGAGGACAACGGCCGCGCCAGAGAAAAGCACGAGCAGAGCTTTGAAGGAGACCATTATTAGCTAGGCAGGAATGTGGGGGTGCCGTTACTGGTGTAGGACGTGGAGGTGGATGCGCGTCCTTTTATGCCTTTTTTCCTCGACGCGTCGCCGGGGTGCACACCCCGCTACACGCATGGCGCTCGCGCTCGAGTATCAAAGAGGATAGGCTGTCAAAGATATCTGCACACAGTCGCAGGAAGTGCCCCAGGCGCTGGACGTCCAAAACGAGCCAAGAAGGGCTTCTGAGTGATCGCTTAGGGCCTGCTATCGCGAGGTCGGTGTGGCCAGCGTGATGCTCTTCTGGATGGTCGCTTCGACTTGTCCTTCCGAGAACACAAGGTTTTTAATGCTTTTCTCTTGGTCTGCACAGGTTTGCACATGTTACACAATGATAAGCGCAGAAATGAACGTTGACAATGAATACAACCTACATTGGAGCCACATGATAGTGAGAATTAGACTGGAATTGACCAGAATTGACCCGCTGGTGCACACCGAGGTCATTGACAGCTGGCGTTGATCATTCACTATTCTCGCTCTCCTACATATTGAATCAAGAGTTACCTGATTTCTAACGAGAAATGACACATCAGCGGGGCGGAACGAATTAAAGGGAGCTTTCGTCACCGTGGTCGCATTCTTGGCACTTGTGATTGCGTTATCTCTACATAAATTTACTTTTCTTTCTTGCCGGCGGTGGAATGAACAGCCTGCGCTTCCAGAGGCTTCTATCGACGGCCTTTCGCCGTTCGGTGATGGTGGTGGAGAGTAAGTAGCATTGTGTGGCCTTACGTAAGTTTATCCATTCCGAGACCTACGGCGATCATGATCACATCGTCCGAAGTCTCCGAGGGATAGACGCCTCGATCTTCACTGAATGTTTAAACGCTAAACGCTAAGCTCTCTAGCTTCTCAACAGGTACATTTCAGGGTTTATCCTACTAAAAATTGGACATGACGCAGTACAACGCCGTGGGCGCCAATTTTATGCTAGCGGTGGTAAGACAAGCGCTCATAATCTATTATTAGTGTGGAAATGACGTCGATCGATGGATATTCTTAGTGCTGCTCTGGCTAGTGCACTTCTTTGCTCAGTTACGAAATGCTAAAGCTAGATGCTTGCATTAATGAATGATCTTTGCTCTTTATAGTCAAACAGATCGATGGCTGAGAAAGACTCGTGAACCTGGCTTGGCGAAGACAGTTTCATGGACAGCTCGTCTATGAGCGGAGTGAGAAGGGGTCTAGGGAATATGCGCCTAGATCATGGATTGGGGTGATCAAGGGATTGCTCAATATACTTAGACCACTATTCCTCTTAGAGATATTTTGAGCCCGCAACTCACTGATATATTCCCATATGCACTGAATCCAAGACAGATGCGTAAACGTAAACGCCGTGAAGGTGTAATTACTGACAAATCCGATACATGACAAGACTGGAGCTAGGGATAAGGCATACTAGACGATCCGTACTACGCCGTGTCTGCTGTGGAAAGCTACCAACTTGCATAGTGAATAAAGAGCGACGACGAGGAAACTTAAATAGAATATGTAATTATTGGCAAGGCATATGGTAGAGATATTGACGAGGACCAATCGACTTAAAAACCGTTCCGACAAATCAACTAAATCTATAAAAAACCAAAAGACAACAACCAACCCAGCGACGACGCTAGCCGCCAGACCCGCGACGCTGCCCGTATTCACCAACGTGGTCGCAGCGCCCGTCTTGACCTCCGCCTTGAGATTCTGCGAGCCCACGTCACCGGTGGTTACAGAAGCACTAGCAGATGGGATCCCCGCGTACGTGCCCGATACCCAAGGGACTTCGCAGATCGGAAGGTCCGTAACCGATACGCTAGGGAACGCCGTCGGGAACACGGTGGTGAACTGACCCGCGGAGTAATAGGGTGGACGGTGCCGAAGATAGAGCTGACCGCGTCCGTCGCGACGGTCGCGCTAGGGTCCTCGCTGAAGGGTGTGTCCTCGGTAACGGTCATCCCGCCGCCGAGGACCCCGGTGGAGATGGTGCTCACGGGAGCGCTGAACGAGATGGTGGTGGGCGTGCCGCCGACAACGGAGGTGGGGAGGCTGGAGAGACCATTGCCGCCGCTCTGGATGGCAGTGCCCATTGGGACGGGGGCGGGAATGTTGGTCGAGACAAGGATGATGCAGGACGGGACGGGGGCGTTCGTGCTGATTCCCCCAGTGTTGTAAGTGGGAAGGTTAGAAATGCAATGCTATGGAGATGATGAGAGAGGACGAGAGGACGTTCCTAGAAATCCGTACGTCAGCCTTAAATATTTGAAGTGATCCCCATCATTACTCACAAGGCATTGGCGTTAATAGCAGCGAATGCGAGGAGGGAAAGAATGATGGTGGAGCGCTTTGTGAGAGCCTTAGTGTAGAATCAGGTGGATTAGAAACTGAGGACGTCAGAATGTTGAAGATGCTGAATAGTGAACATACCAAATTCTTTCAACTCTACTACATAGGCTAGCATGGATACGGAGCTAGCTCACTGCAACATCTCCATCCAACGTCTCAAGATTCGTGCATTCATTAAGAGTGAAATCGGCTCTGTATAATTAAGGAATCTGTAACAGAAGAACCAACTAATGGTATACCCTCACAGGGTGCAGGACCAAATGAACGGACCGGTTTATTTGAATGACATGGGCCGTAACATATTACAGTCATCCACCATCATTTGATACACTGAAATTTAAATTTGATCCCAGAACTCAACCAGCCCATGGATTCTCATAAAACCACTTGGAATCAGTGTAATAGAGCCATTAAAATAAATTTATACCAGCTGTATGCCATAAAATCAACCAAACGTGAGCAGAAACAGCCAGAGATGCTGTACCAGTGACTGGTGTGACAAAATCAACCAAAATGAATATTTTGGTGATTTTATTACTGGGCATTGACTTCACCAAAACCCATAAAATTTTATACACAGTGTATGAAAGACTTATAGAGAATGGGGTTATTTTTTCAAAGCAAACAGTTGAGTCCTTCATGGTGTTCCAAGGTGTATCATTAGCCGGTGGTGTCTCATTGGCCGGTGGATGACTGTAGAAAGCCGGTGCATAAACGGGTCCTATGCATGCGTCGTTTATTGGACCTTCTTACCCGTATATGGTAATTTTGGTCCAATAACCGTCGAAAAACTAGCTCCCGATTAGGCGCCAGCTTTTCAATATGTTCCGCCACATGAATGGCAAAGAAACGGCCCAGATTATTAGGCCTTGCACCCCGTGCCTATAGCAATTGGGAATGGGAATTGGAACTGGCCAAGCCCAAGGCCCCGACGCCTCGTCCTCGTCAGGAGGAGCAGGACCGAATTGGGCCAAGTGCCAATTGTGGCCAGGGCATTGTGGCGCGCGCTGCCTTAGGCAATGTTCTGCTCTGCTCGGCGCCACAGCACCGCGTCGGCAAGGGGTGCAGCCCAGCCAAAGCGAGGTACCGGCAACGCGCAAAAGCACGACTCGGACGGGCCACCGAATGCGTTTCCCAAAAACGGATAATTTGGTGTGTGGCCGAGGGGTGGCCACAGAAGATAGAAAATAGATAAAAGGAGGCACTCGAGTGGGAGGTTGGCCCAATTGCGAACGAACACCCCCATTTGCCTACCCACCCGCCTAAAAACCCCCTCCAGAACCACAGCTCTTGCCTAGCGTACTTTCGCCTCTTTCCGCTCAGCCTTCCCCTTCGAGCCATGATTCCACACAAACACCTTCTCGCCCCCCCCTCCACCTCCTCCCCTGCTTCTGGGATTGCTGTGTTCTCCGCCCGCTTGGCCAAACCCACCTCCGCCAGAGCAAGCTAAAGATGGCCGTCAAGAAGACGATGTCGATCTTTGACATCCCCGCGACCAAGGCTGCTCGCGAAGACAAACTGTCCGTTGACGGACGCAGAGCTTCGGGACGTGCGTGCCCTCTGGGAGAGGCTCAATGCTCATCAACTCGAGCTCATCGAGCTGCCTTTCCCATTAGCCTTCCGCCAGATGTGCGTCGCGGAAGAGGAGCGGATTGCAGAGGACCTGAACACCTGCAGGGCACTATCAAGCGACTCCGGGGAGAGACACGTCGAAGTGTATGGTCTATGCCAGATATCGTCCAGGTGGCGCAAAGCCACACAGGGTGTTCCTTTTTTCTGGACCACGTTGCGGCTAATCCTAATCCTTCCAGGAGATATCCGTCACCTGCCGAGTATACAGCAACTGCTGTCTAGCTTGGTAGTCCAGGTGTTGGTGTGGGGCTCCTGTTGGCGTTGGCGTTCATGTTCCCAGCGAGTCAGCATCGACTGGGATACTCCGCGGACCCCGCTATCGATAACATCGACGACGTCTAGCACTCCAGCGACGAAGTGAAGTCAGCGTCAGTCGTCTGCTCGAGACGAGGCGGCGGCCCTGGCGAGGTGAGAAGGAGACTCTGCGCCTGCCACAGCCGCAGGCGCTTTCGTAATCCCTGGTCGCTCTGGTCTCATCAGACGATTTACCGCCGCCAGCTCCCGCTCCACACCTCGGACGACCAAGGCCGGCCGCTCATGAGGCTATGACCTCGTCGAGGTGTACGGCTTAAGCCAGATATCAGGCTCCAGGTGGCGCAAATCCGCGCTTCTCTCTGGACAACACTAAGGCTCCGAGTCATCCTTCCAGAAATAGTACATACCTAGTCAAACGATACTCTTGTATTGCAATTGCATCTCTTTCACAACACATTTCATTATCCCTTGTCCAACTTCAACTGGTTTGTGTTTTTGAGAGAACGGACGCAGAATTATGGAGAATGGCGTCAATCAATCCGGTGCGTGTTGGCAAGAAACGGAAATTCGAACTCTGATGTGGCGTGAGGAACCCCAGCAGGAGACGGCGCACTTCGCCCTTGTTCTCTAGCAGTTGAACTTCGGGGGCGAGATGGATACTAACTTGAGAGTGTCAACAACTACTCGAGTATGGCAGACTCCCGAGAGTAAGAAGTCATAGTGCTTGAGCTCGGCGAATCTGGAGATTGCACTGAACAACGAGCTTGTATGTTTACGTCGATTTAGCGCCGATGGCGGCGACATGGAGTCACTAGATTTGTAGGTAGAAGGTTCCCATTCGCGAGAGGGATTATCATGACTCAGGACCTGCAACTGGTAAGAGATAACGGATTCTTCCTACAGTTCCACGCCAGGCACACCACGATTCTTTTCCCAGTGACTGAGCTCTGCTAAGGTGGGAGGACGACTCTACAGTCCCATAGCCGAGCCTACTAGGCCAGCAGACCAGTTTATTTATTGTCTGTGCGGTCAACGGTTGATTGAAGGACGGGAGGATTTCCTTCGGGCTTCGTAGGTAACATGCTCTGGGCGGAAGAGCAGCCAGAGAGGCCGTCTTGCGGGGGACTGGGGGCTCTTCAAGGCTTGGTAACTGTGTATCCCCATGCGAGGCAGATCGGACATAGAAGTACAGAGAATGACGTCTGTCTGTTGAGTAGCGGTAGATGTGAACCCTCTAGCTCCAGCTGCATTCGGTGAGAGATAAAACTTCCAGCTAGGAGAGCTCCATATCCTGCATCGGACGTTTCTGTTCCCAGTGAGTGTGCGGAGACATCCGATGCGTAAAAAGAGCTCGAGGGGGAAGGGCATCTCTCGGCGAGGTCTGCCAGCTGCAGACGGGTCCTACTCCTCTCTGACTCCTTGTCCGTATAGCTAAGGGGAACACCTCTCAACTACAGCTAGTAAGTGATCATCTCGTGGCAGTGATGATTGATCGATGAACAGCCAGAGTCTCCTGGCCCTTGAAAGAGCTAGGACACCATTCTTTGACAGGGATATCGTTCGGTGCGAATGCTCTAGCGCTCTGGCTCCAGTCGCCTGAGACAGCGAGAAACAAATCTGTACAGTGAAAAGGTGGCATTGGAATTTCTTTGAATGCCGGAGAGCTCTTCGGGTGTCGGAGTCGAAGAGGAAGATCTTAAAAGCATCCCACACAACGTACGACGGAAGTACACTGGAACGTTTGGACCGTGGAGCGTTGTAAAAGATGCCAGGGAAGAGATCCAGAAAGAAAAGGAAGCACTTTTCTGGACGCCCGACGGGGTTGAAGCGATATTAGCAGCAAGAATGAGGACGGCATCGATAAGGACAATGCATAGGCGCCCTCTGCCGTCCATGATCTAAGAATAGGTTCATATGCATCTGGGAGAAGGAGGCCCCGTAGACAAACCGGAGTGCCGCGATAAGCTGACTGGATGATACCGATAGACCCCCCTTTCGAGAAAATTTCGAGGGTTGTGGTGACTCAATCATCATCTGCATTGAGGGACTCTCTAGGGAGTCCCCAACTGAGCATCTTCGAGGTTAAAACGTTAAACGTGGATCTCTGAGCCAGACAAGCGATTGTTGGTGGCGCATTCTCCATTATCGATGACGTTGCATGCAATACGAGACGGAAAATGCCGACGACGGTTCTCATTCTAAGGCCTCGGCGAGTCGGCAGATCATGCCAGGGAGAGCCGAAGAGTGCACGGAGGAACTTGCCGAGCGGAGATTCAAGTGAGTTCAATCGCAGCGACCCTGCGACAGTGATCGAGATGAAGATGCTTGAGGATGTTCGCATGAAATCGTGACGGTTCGTTCTTGTCTTGCATTCTTCATCGTTGGTCATCGAGTAAGTGGATTAATTTACTTATAGATAAGATCTCTCTCTTCTGACTTTATTCATGCTTCTCTCCTTTCGCTATGCAGCGCCCTCACCAACGTGAACGCTTGTCGGTTCATGAACACAAGTCGACTGCCCTCTGGTCGGTAGCACCAGTATTAGCACCAGCAACCGACGCGAACTCGTCCTTCTCCCAATCCTTGACACGGTTTCCTGCAACGACCGACGCCCTGGCAAATCCAAACCCCACTGGTATCGCTGGCCTACCTCTCACAACCTCTGTTATCTCGACTTCGCCGCCAACGTCACACGCAGTTCAAAAGCCTGCACAATCATCATCGTCGACGCTATCTCAATCACTGACGCAATCAGGGTCGCAACGCGGTGCAAAGCCACCCCTACGGTCCTCGTCGAACTGTAACGGCTTCCTCCTCCCTGGGCCAGCGACTCTGAACGGGAACGGGAACGGGAACGGGTGTGGGTGTGGGAGTGTGAACGCGAGCGGAACAGGGAGCGGGAGTTTGAGCTCGAATTCGAGTTCCAGTAGTTGCAAGCTAGGAAGCTTGAGGCTCACAAAGGCAAAGGTGTGCCCGATCCCTGCAAGTGCGTGCACGTTGCGCTCGCGTACGGCCGCCACCATTCCTTCCTTTTCATCATCACCCACCTCCGCCACCAGCACGTCTTTCCTCACCCGCAAATCCGCCTCCTCGCCCCTCCTCGCCGATTTGCAGAGCCACCTGCCTCCACCACCGTATTCTGAATCCCAAAATTCACTTCCACCTGCACGTTCGCATCCGCATACACACCCCTCGTCGAAGAACGCTAGCCCCGTCATCCCAAGCCCGCCAACGAATCTATCGACATCGATTTATATGCACTCGGACACGGAAGACGACGAGGAGATGATCTATACCTCGCGGCTGCGCCCACACACCCACTCGGGGACCAACAGCCATAGCCATGGGGGTAGCTCGACGAGCCTGCGCAGTCGGATATTCGGGTTGGCGAGTGCCGGTGGTGGCGGTGGGCATTCGCGGGGACGGTCAGATAGGGACAGGGAGCAGGGGAAGCTGATATGCACGACGCCTGGCGAGACGTGTGCGGGCGAGACGGAGACGGAGACGGACGAGCCGGTAAGTTTTCTTTCATGAATTCCTCTCGATTTTCTTGTAAACTCCATGCATTCATTCGCGTACTAACCTATCCTCCATCCTGTAGTCCCGACACCTCCCAACAGCCCGCATTATCCCCTCCTCAGGCCCGCTCATCCCACCACACACCCTCCAGCAAACACTCACACCCCTCCTCTTCGAATTCGCCCGCTTCCTCTCCGTCGTCCCTGCCATCCTCGGCACCCTCTACAACCTCTACCATATCTACGCCCCACCACCACCCTTATCACCCAATATTACCGGTCGACCACCTCCAGATCGACTCGACTTCTTCGTCGCGGCGCTCTGGGCGATCCTGACAGGCTACCAGTGCCTTGCGCTCGCGACGGGCCTGCTCACACGCTGGCGGCTGTACTACGAGCCCCTGTCGACACTCGTACGCCTCCTCGCTCTGCAGGGCATCTGCTGGCAGGCGACCCACCTCTCCATGAGCATCCTCAATGGCGAGAGAAGACCGGTGGTAACGTGGGCAGTGGTGGGGACGACAACGTGCATAAGCCGGAGCGTGCAGATATGGGTGACGAGTAATTTGTGGTGGGAGGTTGAGGGGGTTCAGTCGAGCGAGGAGACACCGGCGGCAACGAATCTGTCGAGTGGTCTGTCGGCGAGCGTGGCCGCCCTCGCCGGGCTCGCCTCTTCCTCTTCCTCTATCCACTCTCACTCTCACCCATCATCAGGCAAGACGAAAGTCCGTGGCGGGTACTGGAAGCGCGTCGCAGGCGGTACGTGGGGCGGGCGGCGGTGGGACTGGCGCGAGGTCGGGATCCATTGCATGCTGCCCGCTGGCGTCTTGTATTTCGTCATGGCGTGGGCGGAGCAGGTGCGCAGGGAGTGGGTCGCTCAGGTGCCTGCGCCCAGTTGTTAGATTGTACGTTTCCTGCCTGCTTCCGTCTGCTCCTTTTCCTGGTCGGATAGATACTTTCGCAATACTTTTGTTCCGTGTCCTCGTTTGCATTCTCCTCTTTGCTCGTTTTCTATGTCCTCGTACTGTACTTGACTACGCCAATGTTCTCTCACCTCCTCGAACTCTTTCCTGTTTATGCCCATCCTCAGTGCTGCCTTTTATTTCTATCTATTCCCTTCTCCGACTCCTAGTACACGATCCCATGTCCTGTTTCCCATTTCCTATGGTTTCCTGTTTATCTGTTTTCATGCCATTCTGCACCTGCACCACCAAATTCCTCAACGGGATTCCAATATTCTAGTTCCTTCCTGCTTCTTGCCTCCTCTATGTATTCATTCTCCTCCAGTACTGTCAAAACGCCTCTGTATTTTAGCCTACCCTCGCTCTCGTCTTTCCATAGATTTCTCTTCTCGCTCGGTTACTTACTTGTTACTTGTTACTTACAGTGGGGACTGGCAACGCCTGCCAAATTCTGTCGGTATTTGCACATGTTTGTTCCCTGATAGAGGACCGGCCACGGATTGCATCGTCGATAAAACCTTCCACATTGCGTATTTCGACTCATAATATAGGGGAAATTTGCTTATAATACTGATATCTAGGAGTTCTTAGTGTCGCATTTTCCAGTTTCGAGTTTTATATATTTTTCACCCTACAGATTTCTTGATTTTGTGCCCGCAGGTGTAAAAACCGAAAATCCGCCACGAAGACCTCCTAGAGGACAGCTATCTTGAAATGCTACAAAAAGAATTTTGGAGCTGGGTTGCGTCACAGATGTAAAATGAACAATGCAAAAATTCGCGGTTTTGGCTGGTTATGTCACCATCAAAAGCGCGCCGGGAATGCCGACGCATCTAATTGGAAGAATCTGCCCGCCATTTCTGACGTGTCAGACGTGTTAAACACACTTAAAAGCATATTTAAAGATGGGAAGTCCCAAAAATTTGTCTCTGCTTCAATGCCAACGCCTTGCGGAGCCTCTTCAATCCCAAGGCTGGCTCCAAGAAGGGATTACTTAACAAGAAGCATTGGGAGTACTATTCAGTGTCCATTTCCAGTGTCCGGGCAATTACCTCAACCCTGCCCCACCTATGTGGGGCCTTAATTGCTTGTCTCGAAGGTGCGCCCAAGGGATGGGAGAAATTGTTGGAGCAATTTCGGCCTGGAGGACAGATCGTGAATGCAACTCTTGCTGAGCACCATTGTCAATGATACAAATGAAGGTGCACTCAGAATGATCCGCATTGCAAAGTGGAAGGTGCCCATCATGTTGCTTGACACCTGCAATGCTTCACTCCAGCTAAGTACAAGCACTGATTGAGACAATGAGACACTAAGATAAATAATAGAAGGATTAATTCCCTGTCGAATTCCAGTGCATTGGAGGCCCCTAATAAGGGGGAATTGACAAAGACAGACGGGTTACAAATGGGTTATTTCATTTGAAGATCTAGATGAGCAATGAAATTTGGTTTTTCGCACCTCATAGACTATTATTTTGACTACAACTTCATGTATTATATCTTTCATATATCTAGTACAACTCTGAATTCAAGACTACAGGTGGCAGACCGTGTTTTCGTTGAGAAATGTGCAATCTACCAAATGTCCCGGTCCTCCATTCGAGTTTGGCAGAGGACAAATATGTGCAAATACTGACAGAATTTGGCAGGTGTTGCCGGTCCCCACTTACAGTCAATGTGCTTACAATTCCTAGCTGGAGATGCCTCTTCTCGTGAGTTTGAATCCGTCGAACAAAGGGCTACGTATACCAAAACAAAGTGAACACTCTCAACATAATAATGAAGGGCCCATGTCGCCGCCTGCGGTCCTAAATTTACACAGTCCCTAGGCTGCAACTTTTGTATAGTTTGAGCCTTCTTAGGTTGTGCTAGAGGTGGCAAAGATAAGTAACTCCGGAAGGTCTCCCATGAGCGCTGGAACTCAAATATGGGGCCACAGCATTGTCGTTCATTGTGTCTTCTTTCTTATCCTTTCAGAGCCTTTGGATGGCACATACAGAGACTAGTCAATGGGCCCCCTTGTGCATCTGTTCTCTCTCAAGTGCAAAGCACCCACCAGTTGAAGTCACACAAGGAAAAACAAGATACATTTGGTAACAAGATGCAATTGCGATAGATGAGCATTATGTGACTAGGAATGTACAATTTCCATTGAGTCTACAATGCAGGTGAGCTCTACAAGTTCGTGAAGCCACTCTGATATGCCTGTAACACGCCTCCCATCAGAACTCCTCATGAGGACCCGCTCTTGAATAAATAACTGAAGATACGCTGTCTTCTTCAATTGTAGGCTAGGTAAGAGATAGGGTTAGACAGTCTTTGCATAAGAAGAACAAGGTCGAGTGCATGGCGGGCCGAAATCCCTCTGAAACGAGGGTCAGCTATGCCAGGCCTGTGGCCTTGAAATATTTGAGCGTCTTTTGTGCTTCTCATCGGATTGACCGTCCCTCTGTCAGTCCATTCTTGTAGGGGCGCCGTAAAATCCCAGTGGAGGCCGCATTGACGTGAACATGAACCCCAACGCCAACACCTGTGATGCTAATCCCCAGTTGCCATAGACCCTGCAGATGATAGATACCTCCTGCTTTGTTAGCTTGAGCCCATCATCCCAGAACACCGATGCCTTTCCAGGTGGCATGAGCTTGCGTACGCTAAGGATTTGGCGGTGTTGGTGATCGGGAGGAACAGATGGCTCCTAGAAAGCAAGGCACGCAGGCGTGTTGAGTAAGTATTCTGGTCCATTGAGATTTTGTGTGAACAATGACGCACCATAAAGAGGCGCGCATCGGTGAATGGTGACTGTAGTCTTTGCTGAGAAGAGGAAAGAACACAGCAAGCTCAGAAGCAGGGGTGGGGATGGAAGGGTGGAGGGGGAAGGGATATTGTGGAATCATGGCTCACAGGTGGAGGATGAGCAGAAAGAGGAAAAGTGCGAGGTAATAGCTATGGTTCCAGGTGGGTAGGCAACCAACAGGAGAGGTCGTTTTTGCTCTTAGGACGATTCCCTCCCATCCAAGCGCCCTTTTATGCAATTCCTATCCTCTGTGGCCTCCCCTCGGCCACACACCAGTTATCATCCATTTCTGGGAATCACCCTGGTGGCCTGTCGCTCTTTGCGTGGCTGATACCTCCCTTTGGCCAGGCCGCACCCTTGCCGACAGTGGCCCGGCACATGCTTAGAGCAGAAAATTGCCTAATCAAGGCAGCCTGCGCCACAATACCCAGGCCACAATTGGCACTTGGCTGGACTTCTGATGATGAACAATAAGCTGTCATGTCTTGATTCAGAGTACAATGTCCAGTACTTTTTCTTCCGTCGCTCGTGTGGAACACTTGTGAGTTCTTCACTACATTGGGGATAAGTAAATTTATCTGAGCAGGTTTACGTAAATTACAGGTATAATAACCAAGCAAACATTGTGTGTGAATGGCTAGACGAGTAAATAGACAAGGTACATACCTTTCCCCCAAGAAGCACGAAGAAACAGCTCGAGGAATAGTCATATGTCACTCTGCGAGCACGCAAGCACAGCCACATGCATGCCAAGCAGCACGCAAGCCACATGCACACAGCTGTATGCACACACACGCAAGTCGCACACACAGGTATGCAAGTCACATGCACAGGTACGCACCTATGCACGCAAAACACACAAGACAATTTTTTGCACTTGCAGAGCTATGAATGGGTGCGCACACTCACGCTTCAATCCATGGCTGATAAACAGGACACTGATCACGGTTGTGGGTTGTCAGGAGCTTGGACTTGAGCAGATGCAACTCAAGGTAGGATTAAATCAAGCCAGTAAACAGCAGGAAGTGTCGGATTTCCTTAATGACTACATCCCCATTCTCAAGAGTCAAGATTGGTACTTTTAATCCTTTCATAGTTTTTCACGCCTCTGACATCCTCCAAGGAAGGATTGTAGGGTATCGTGACATCGGGGAACCGAAAAATGGACACCATATGCAAGGTATGATGTCGCCTCATCTCTGCACTTCTCCTTTTATTTAGTTTTCACTGTTTCTACCAACCAGGATAAGCAAACCAAAAAAACACCCCGGAATCCGTGGACAGCAGACTCGTTCCTGCCAAGCGATTCATCATGGATAAGAAGAAGCTGCTCCTTGGTATGATTGTCCAAGAAGTTGGGACTTTGTCCTTGCTCGACCCTGCTCAGGTCTCAAATTGGTTTGAGACGCACATCAGTGTGAAAGCAGCTCTGCAAAAGGATTGGTTGGGGTACCTCCCAATAGCTCATGCTGACACCCTTCTGATCACAGCTCAGCTTCGTGGTCATGCTTCCTTCAATGACATGGATGAGGTAGGCCTAACTCACCTGGCCTGGAAAGCTCAAAAGACTGGAACCACCTCCGTTCTTTTGGACATTGATGCGGATCATGACTGCGTAGAGAGGCTCAAGGAGCGCATGTTCGAGCGCTCGGAGCGTGCATGAGTTGCTGGTCATTTCCAGTGTACAGGTGAGTGTTTTCTGCCTTAAACATTCTATTTCATGTTCACAACATTCTAAGCACGGAAAAGCTACATTGAAGTGAGGACGGTTTAATCTCCAACTAAGAAGAAGACCAAGATTAAGTCTTGTCCCATCAAGGCCCAGTCAGGGAAGAGGAATAACCGGGGATGATGAGCCTTTCTAATTTGGCTCCCGCAAGGTGAACGGGCAACCAGTATTATACCGATTTTTGCTTATGTACTCTTCATAATGTTTTAGATGCATTAGAGCACTTAAAAGTTATCCCAGAGGATGTGATGGAAAGTTAAACGGGATTGCAAACGTAGACGCCCAGCTCCATCACAGCTTAGCACAGCCACATTCCAGTTGATGCCTCTCTCGAGGTCAAATTTCCTTGAAGGTCCAAAGCCCTCTACCCATCCAAATGGTTTAGAATTATTGGAAAAGATTTACAATGCTTATTTTATAACATTTCCCAATTTTTTGAAAGAGAAAACAGTGTGTAATAAGTGAAGTTGTATCTAGAGTCAGACAGGCTCTTTAGACTTTGACACTTTACGGTGGATGAATGACCGATCACAAGCCGGGGGATCAATCGATCAACCATTAAAGTATTTTATGCATTCTGGTGTATCATGTATACCAGTGAAATCAAATTCAAGCTGTATATTTGTATGTCAGTCCCTCAGCACACTCAAGAGAGCAGGTGTTTCATTCTCAGGCTTTACAACTTAAGAGAACCCCTAAAACTACTGGGGGTTACCTGGAGGCACGATAGTTACTACAACAAGTTGAGACAAAACCTCCCAACCACCTCGACTTCTTCATCGTCGCCCTCTGGGCAGTCCTAACAGGTTACCCACACTCACGACGGTTAGGCTTAGCATAGATTAGATTAGATTTCATGTGGCTGTGCACATCGAGATGTGCCAGCACGGACTCGATTCTGCCTGCGACGCCATCTGCACGACCACGACCTGCTTGATGTGTTTCCAAGCTTGTGCATCTGAGAGCAGTCATCTGGCCTGCTCCAATGTGCCTGCTCATGTGCTGGCAGCTGTACTACATGCCCCTGTCGATGCTCATGCGCCTCCTCGCATTGCAGGGCATCTGCTAGCAAGCGACCCACCTCTCGCTGAGCATCCTCGATGGGCTGAAGAGGCCGGTGGTGACGTGGGCGGTGGTGGTGACGATGACATGCATAAGCCGGAGCGTGCAGATATGGGTGACGAGTAATTTGTGGTGGGAGGTTGAGGGCAGCGGTGAATCTGATGAGTGGTCTGTCGGAGAGCGCGGCCACTTTCACTGGGCTTGCCTCTTCCTCTTTCTCAGCCTCAACCTACCCACCTACCCACTCTCACTCTCACTCATCATCAGGCAAGACGCAAGTCCCTGGCGGATACTGGAAACACGTTGCAGGCGGTATGTGGGGCAGGTGGTGGTGGGACTGGCGTGAGGTCGGGATCCATTGCATGCTGCCCACAGGCGGCTTGTATTTTGTCATGGTGTGGGTGGAACAGGTGCGCAGGGAGTGGGTCGTGCCTGTTCCTAGTTGTTAGGAAGTCCTTCCAGAATGTGCGTTCTCTTTTTGACTCAAGTTCAGTTTTTATTTTTGTGTTCTTTTTCTCCATGGATTAGATACTTTCACTCCTTGTCATGGCTCGCATTTCCTTGCCTCTTGCTGTACGTTTAGGATGCTATTTCTCTCTCTCCCTTCTCTTCTTCCTTTTCCGTTCATGCCTATCCTCGGTGTTAGCTTTTGCTTATTCCCTTCTCCGACATCCTAGTACACGCCCCCATTCCCTGTTTTCTGTTTTCATACTATTCCCTCTGTGCATCCAAGACCCAAAACCCTCACAGCAAGTTCAATTTTGACTACACTAAAGCATTCCAGGCCCTTCCTTCCTGGTGCTTATGCTGCCCTGCTTCCGCTATGCATTCATTCCCAAGTTCCCGTGTATTCTAGTCTTAGATTTCCTGTCCTACACACCTTGACAGTCTTGTTACCAATTGCATGTCTATCTCGAACTTTGGTACTTCTCACGACAACCTTCTCGAACCATCACCTTCACGAAGTATGCGTCACTGTATGCAGAGAAGATGTTCAGATCAACTCCAGTCCCTAACCTGCCACTTTTTTTTGCTCTACCGTAACAGTTTGACCTTCGAACTCATTGAGAACCACTGGACCTCCTAGCTGCCGGTACACCCTACGCTTCACCAAGAGTCAAATTTCCACTTCTTGTCATGGATCGTAGATAAACATAGACAGTGAGTGGACAGGGAGTGTTTCTTCAATTTTGCTTCCATGGCCTGGTGTACTTGGGTCTGCAGGTGCGTCGAGTGCAATGTCCTCAGGTTGGAACTGACCTCCTTGCCCCAACATTGTGACTCAGCCCTGTGCACTTACCACAATGGTCGCTGACTACTGAAGGCAGAGCAAGTGCTGTGGCATATCACCTCAGCATTCCATGTATTTGGACGAAATTGCAGGACTCCAACCCAGGGACCGCAATGGCACGGCTGGCGCACACGAAGACTAGTTGGCGCCTTGCAGCGTTTGTTTTCTCTCAAATAGATGCAAAACACCTGCCAGTTGAAGTCACACAAGGAAAAACAAGATATGTTCAATAAAAGAATGCAATTGCAATAGACAAGCGCTATGTGACTAGGTATGCACTATTTCCGTCAACTCTACTATGCCATCGTCGACATGGTTAAATTCCACAAGGTTGTGGAGCTGCACTGCGATGCCATGGAATATATTTTGCTAGAGATGTCTTATCTTTCCCTTCCACTTCCTCCCAGTGACCTGGCTAAATTTCACCTTCACTCCTTCGATCCCAAACATCTTCCCAGGTGTTGTCCGTTTGCTCTTTGGCAACAGAGTTCCTTGGCCAAAGATGGTATGACGAAGGTGGTGTGCTGCAGTGCAAGTTCTTTGGTGAGGCAAGCGATGACTTCTTCATGGGCAGTCCTGGTCAATGGCCTGTCAATAACCGACACTGTCTTCTTCGATTGGAGGGGAGGCAGAGGCGGGTAAGCACCCAAACATGTCTGCATATATGGCCAACTGAGGGGCGGTCGGCCCGATGAGCTGACTCGCTTGCGCTGTGCACTGCTTGAATGGTGCAAAACTCGGAGCAGCACAACCCTTCTTGTAGGGGTTTGAGTTCTCCACTGCACTGGGGAAATCGTTTGCGATGAACAACACTTTATTTTTTTGGTGTCAGCTTTTCAGGAAGGAAATGGAGAGACAAAGTAAAAGGGAAAAGGGAATAAAAGAGCAAAAGACCCACCCTGCCCCAATGATAAAACATATCCGCATCCCTCTTATCCATCCTCTCCGCCCTATCAAAACATTCAAACACTTTTGCGGGTCGCCCTGCTCCACGTGTATGCCCTTGAGCTTGACAAGGCTCTTTTTGAGGTCGGCACAGGTGAGCCGGATTTGGCCAGTGAGGAACCTAGGGGAGGACGCAGTGAACCTTGGGTAAGAGGGAAGGAAAAGGCAGAAAGAGAGGAATAAGGGGAGAGCAACGCACCTAAATGACCGCCTCAAAATAACCGCCTCCACCCTTCCCTCATCCCACGACACGCCCTGCTCGAGTGCCTCGTTCACTAGCATCACTGCGTGCAGGTAGTCCTCCCCATCGAGCGCTTGGAGAGCCAACAGGAGGGTCTTGTCACCTTGAGGAGGGGAGGGCGGGGTGGGTGCCTGTAAGATTTGAGTTTTGTTAGTTTCTGGTTGGTTAGCTGTTCTAAAAGGTTGATTTAGGTGAGTGTGGTTTGGGTTTGTGTTGAGCAAGGGAAAGATGAGGCAGGAAGGAGGAGGCAAGGGGCAGGAAGGAGGAAGAAGGAAGAGGCAGGAGCAAGGAGGAAAGGAGAGAGCAGGAGGGATGGAGGAGGGGGACGTGCGTGGTTGGAAGGCGGCAAGTTGATTGGAGGATGAGAGTGGTTAGAGGGAGAGTGGTTAGATTGTATAATGGTTCCGTTTGTAAAATTGGGATATTGGACAAGAGAGTGGATAAGTCTCCTTTGCCTCCTCCATTGCGACGACCTTGAACACCCATTCCACCATGTTCACCATCGAGGATCATGACCTCCCTTTGCCAAACATATTTGCTCTATTCCTTGAAGGCAAGTCGTGACTTGTGAGCTCCACGCAACTGAGAAGGGCATATTAGACCCTGGATAGCTCCAACACATCACGCAGTTGTACACTTGGAATTCAGGATACTTTAGGCATTCAGTGGTAGTGTTCAGCAGGGCTGGGTGGTTGTTCAACATTGCAACATTGAACATTGATCAAGTGCTTGAGCCTTCACAGATTTGGCTCTGAGGAGGGCATTCGAAGAGGAAGGAGAGGGTTGGTCCTTGGAGAAATGAATGAACATTAACCGGTAACTGGTAACGTGTAACGTTTAACCCTCGAGGACCAGATTTGTGGCCTGACATAAGCATCACGGCGATCACCGAGTATGGACTCGCTGGGATATGGCAGGTCTTGGGCACTAAAGCGCTGATCGTCTGTCTACCTCATGCAATGTAAGGTCTCCCCACTCATCACCTGTTTGCTTTGGGAAAAAAATTGTGCAACTTGTATTGCATGAATTTGGAGTGTGATATTTAAGCAATAATACTGTGTATTCATTTAAAATGTAGGCCCTGATACCGATCCCGATGGACGGTATTGGACCGTGCACCTTACGCCTCAAGATCGTCCAATTTCTGTTTCCTGTCACAGATTGTAGATGAGGTCCCCATAGACAGAGCGTTGACAGAGGGAAGCGTCTCCGGTGCATTCATTTTTGTTGCCGTGGCCTGCCGTGCTCGCGTCTGCTTATAAGGCCCCCGGATTCGGGATCCCGGCGGTTAGGGCTGGGTTAGGTGCGGGTTAGGTTAGGGCCCTTCCAAAAGTAGAATTTGATGGCTTGGATCCAAACACAACCAATGTGGTGAGCTGTCACATCAATATGTGGCTCGCCACTGTTTGTGTTGAGGTTGAGCTCATCGTCGTCGCCGACGAGCTCAACCTACACTTCTCTCATGGTGCTGTAAGCGGCGCACTTTGTGGAATTAGGGCCCCATATCCTTTGTACTGCTATTGCCATAGATTTTACTAAATAAGATGCGTCATTGCTCGATGCGCGACACCCCGAAGAAATAGGGCGGGATGCGAGCAGACAGCGATGACGGCCCAAGCTCGTCGCGTGAACCCCCGTGATTCGGCGATGTCACATCAGGCGAGTGTGACGTGGCTAGCCCAGCCCAACCTAACCCGCACCTAACCCAGCCCTAACCGGGATCCCGAATGGGGCCTTACAGGCATGTCGTCGAGTGCAACATCTTCCGAGTCGGCCAAGAACTGAACTCCTCGACCCAATGGTGTCGTGCACGTACTGTAAGTCATATGTCGTTGATTATGGAGCTCTGCGTTTGTTCTCTCTCAAATGCAAACACCCCATTTGAAGTCACACAAAGAAAAATGAGATATGTTCGGTAAAGAGATGCAATTGCGTTATATGAGCATTATGTGACTAGGTATGTACTATTTCCTCTTTCGCTAGAGACGGTTGACCATATGTCTGATCTTTCCCTTCCACTTCCTCCCAATGGCCTGGCTAATGTCTCTCTGCGTCTTCTTGACATCAAATAACGACGATTTCAACGAACTAAATAGCGCATTCAGCCCGAACATCGTGCCAGCCGTTGTCCGTTATCTCTTCTTCTTCGATTGGAGGGGATGTGGAGGTGGATAAGCGCCTGATGAGTCGACTCGCGTGCACTGCTTGAACGGTGCGAAACTCGTGGGTCCTCGCTAGGGCCGCCGCATCGTGTAGCGCAGGTGACTAAGGCTGTTGTCACTTCGTCGTTGGAGTGATAGACGTCGTCGATGACAGTCCCTCCTCACGGTCCTTCCAGATGACGACAGAGGCTAGAGCGGATCACCGACCTCACGTTCCATGCTACCGAGTGCCCCGGAGTCTCCCAGTGGAGGCCGCATCTCGCCGTATACTCCGCAGACGATTGATATCTCCTGCTTCGTGAGAGGATGATCATGCAAGCTAACTGGTCATGCCCCTTCTCTCCTCGTGGTGATGGAAAGGGGTGGCACTCTGGATGGGGTGGATGTCGGTGACTGGGAGTTCAACGACCTCTGACGGGGAAGCAGGCGGTGTCTAGAAAGAAAGGAACACATACGTGATAAGTAGGCGGTACGTTGAGATTTTGTATCAGTGACGTACCATGAAGGGACACCTGTCGGTGTCTCAGCTTTCAAGTTCCTCTGGCGGCGGTCTCGGTGGTGACACGGGCAGAGAACACAGCAAGCTCAGAAGCGGGGGTGGAGGAGGGGTGGGGAAGGGGAATAGGTTTGGTAGGAATCATGGCTCGAGGGCGAAGGTTGAGAAGAAAAAGTATGCTGGGGTTCTGGAGGCGGCGGGTGGGTATGCAAGACGAGGCGTTCGTTCGCAATTGGGACGACCTCCCATCCGAGCCCGGCCTTATATACATTTTGCGTCCTCTGTGGCCACCCCTCGGCACACCAGTTATTATCCACTTCTGGGAAACGTCTTCTGTGGCCCATTGCGCTTTGCACATTGCCGTACCTCGTGCCGACGCGGTGCAGTGGCCCGGTACATGCTCAGAGCAGAACATGTATTGCCTAATCGAGGAAGCGCGCGCCACAATGCCCTGGCCACAGTCGGCATTTGACCCGATTCGATGATGCTCCTGACGACGAACCAGCAGGGTGTCTTGGCCCCGCCCAGCGCCGCTTATCACCGAGCACATCGTTCGAGATCGTTCGTCGACTCTTTTCTCTCTTCCGAGAACGCATTTCGCTCATTTGATTCACAGTAGAATGGCCAGTTTTCTTCCGTCGTACTTACCTCGTGTGGAACACCTGCGAGCTCTTCACTGCGTCGGGAATAGATTTATTTGAGCTGAATAATTCCTTAACTTCAGGATCTAACATATCAGTGAGCTGGGAACCGCACAAAGGAAAGTACGTGCCAACTTCCAACCGTTTCTTCTCAAAGATCGGGATCAACAGACAATGAGAAGATTTTGCTCCCTAGGCTGCTCGTAGACGAGCCGTCTACCCAGGCACTCCATAAGTCTGTCTTCATGGTCATGGTCAGTCCTAGAACCCTTGCACTCGGCGTTGTTCGAATCGTGGATAGGTCGACTTGAGAGGGAGCATGAATCAACACATCCGCTGATCGACGTCGAAGTCATTCCCGCACTGATAAACTACTCTAGATTCTGAGCTCCTGTTCTGCAGATCCCACTTGCGCTGGGGGGGGCGCTGACCCCATCCGTAAGTATGGTTATTTAACTCGATTTCCGCTGGATTTACGCACGCTTTAAGCTCTGCGTACCTACACGGCGAGGCGCAAGACTCGGAAGACGATGGGGGCATCCACCGTCCCTCCAACTACCACCATGAACCCACTCAACATCAACGTCAACAATGTCGATTCTACCCACGGGAAGCTCGACATAGTGGACGACGTCGGACTCGCTGCAACCAAGCGCTAGCCAAGCCCGTTACTCACGGGGAGCTCGAAATAAAAGAAAACGAAATGGTGGATGACGTCCTCGCGGAAGTCCACGATAAGTCCATACCTTGCAGAGGTGTGCGAACAAGCCGAGCTCGAGCTCGATGCGGGCCGCGTGCTCCGAGTCCTCGGGCCGGACTCGGTGAAGTTTTCATACATAATCCTTCTCTTTACTCACACCGGTCGACTGGCGTGGGTTCCGTCAGATCGTCCACCCTTTAATTCACAAATTCAAAGACTCTACTCACTCAAGGACGACGTCGGTAATTGCAAGAAGGAGACCGAGAAGGAGGCGACAGCGATGAAAGCGAAGGAGGCTGTGTGTGCAAAGGTTAAGGAAAGCTTGAAGAGCCTGAGCGAGAAGATGGAGGATATGGCGAATGAATGGAAACAGGCCTTGAGGGCGGAGAGGGAGAGGAGTGAGAGGGCGCTGGAGGATTTTAGGGAGATGAGCGAGAGGGCGCTGGAAACTGAGAGGAGGGAGAGGGAGAGGGCGCTGGAAACTGAGAGGAGGGAGAGGGAGAGGGCACTGGAAACTGAGAGGAGCGAGAGGGAGAGGACGTCGAATGAGCTCAACGAGCTGAAGCTGGTGCTGGTGGGTCAACGTTTCAAATTTCAACCCCCAACTTGAATCCTGACGTCCACAACCGGCTGACGTCTAGGCACGGCTTTATTCCACCTTCAACTAAGTCCATATATTTTATGGCTGAATAGACCTTTGGTATAAAGGGAATCTGGCGCGTGCTTTGAATAGACACCTATGTGGATTACACCGACTAGTAGTACTCCTGCATGGACCACTTCATCCCCACCCGCCTCAAGGCCGGACCAGCCACCGCCAAATCATGAACTAACCATGTCGCGAAAAATACCAAAAAAACGCAATGAAGTCATCCGAGTACTCGTCGTTGTAGCACGTAGCCGTAGAGCACTTAAAAGTCGGAAAACACCCTGACGAAGCACATTTGCTTTCCTGCTTCATAGAGTATTTCCTCATCGTCCGATATAGGCACCCTGGTTAACACGGATGGTGATGATATGCAGAAGAGTGGTGCGGATGTTCATTGCGAGAACTTGACTATAAGTAAGGAAAACAGCATGCGTGAGGAAGGCGTAAGTACTATGTAAGGTAAAGGCGTATGTAGGTAAGTCGGAGGAAGAGGAAAGCAGAGCAGGAGACGGTCGAAGAGGAAAGGAGGAAGGAAGGAAGGAGAGTGCGTGCCCGCCCTGTTGAGGAAAGACTGAGGCAGTTGGAAGATGGGGTACGAAATGGTGTGGAAGGATGTCGGCCCTCACACTCGAGTTTTTATGACACCCCAGCTGAGTGCCGCCTCACATCCCCATCATCCCCTGAGCGATCCCCCCCAGCTCCCTCGCCATCTCCGGGTACCCCTCCAAAAACTCCACCTGCGCCTCCGTCGCATACGCATACGTCAGCGCATTCACCAGCTCCGGCTCGCTCCTCGCCAGCTCACACTGCCGCCTAAACAGCTTCGCCGCCTCTTTTATGTTGGATTGTTGGAGGGAGAGCTGCGCGAGCGTGGCGACGGCGGCCTCGCACTCGGGGTCGATGCGCAGGGCTTCGTGGCAGCACCGCTCGGCGGCGCCGAGGTCTTGCTTCCATTGGTAGAGGGCGAGGCCTTTGTTGACGAGTGGGAGGACGTTGGGTGGTGTTCTGAGTGCGTTTGTGAGTATGGTAAATCGAGGTTTAAAGGGCGCGAGACGTACTTTGTCTTCTCGATCTCGATCGCCTTCTCGAACTTCTCCACCGCCTCTTCGAACCTCTGTTGGTCCAGTAACAATTCGCCACTATTACACCCATCCCACATGCGTCAGCATTCCTCTTCCCCATATTTATATAAAAACCCAAACACTCACTAATAATTAAACCCCTCGCTCCTCCCCGGGAAAGCCTTCAACGTCCTTCTAAACGTCGCCATGCTCTTCGCCAGCTCGCCCATCTTGTACTGCGCCACCGCCAGCTGAATATGGCTGAACACGAAGCCCTCGCCGTCGGGGGGGTCAAGAGAGGAGGAGGCGAGGTAGTTCTCGGCTGCGGCAGCGAATTCGTTCATTATGAACAGCACTGTTGTTTTTGGCTTTTCGTCAGAAAAGGGAGAAGAAAACGAGAATGGGAGAATGGTAAAGCTGACCTTGCCCCCGATGATAAAACACATCCGCATCCTTCGGGTCCGTCTTCTCCGCCTCGTCAAAGCATGCAAAGGCCTTTGCGGGGTCGCCCTGCTCCATGTGCACGCTGGCGAGCTTGACGAGGCTCTGTGTGAGTCCTGGGTGCAGGCGCAGGCTCTCTTCGAGGTCGGCTTGTGCGAGGGGGATTTGGCCGGTGAGGAACCTAGGGGCGAACGTAGTGAGCCCAACACAAAAAGAGGAGAGATAATAAACATGGTAAACGCACCTAAACGTCCCCCGCAAATTAACCCCCTCCGCCCGTCCCTCATCCCACGACACGCCCTGCTCGAGCGCCTCGTTCACCAACGTCACCGCGTGCGGGTAGTCCGCCGCGTCGAGCGCTTGGAGAGCCAGAAGGAGGGTCTGGTCGCCCTGAGACGGGTTGGGGGGGAGGGTTGGATGCGGCCGGCGGCGGAAGGCGGCGAAGTAGGCGGAGATGAAGGTGTAGGAGGGGAGGCGGGGCTCACGGTTCTGTTTTTGGAGGAGGAAGGGTTGGGTTGGGTGTTGTGATGATGAGTATGATTGTGAGGTTGTAGGATCATTTGAGGTGTCAGATTGGAATTAGTTGGATGAGTGTAGGGAGGACGCGCAAAGAAGGGATAACAAGTCAGAAAACTAAGGGAAGAACGAAGGGACGGAAAGACGAACCTCAAGTGTCTCCTTAGCCTCCTTCGTCGCGACGACCTTAAGCACCCGCTCCACGGCGTTCGCTGTCGTCTGGTTCTGGAAACGGTCGAGGATCGTTGCGGCCGTGAAGTCTGTACCGTTACACACATCAGCAAACTACACCATAGCACCACGAAAAGCTGAACGGATAAAACTAACCTCTCAGCGCCTCCCGATATCGCTCCAGCCCCTCGAGCGCGATGGCGCGTCGGTTGAGAGCCTTGACGTACTTGGGGTCGAGCTTGAGAGCCTCGTCGCAGTCGGCGACAACGAGGTCGTGTTTTGGGGGCGACATGTTCACGTAGCCTAGAAGGGAGGAGGAGGGTTAGTGGGTGTGATAGACGGAGTGGGGTTGGGAGGAGGGGAGGGAGTGGATGAGTGGAATGGGCGGAAGAAATCAAGAGGGAAGGACGGAGGAGGGGAAGAGGGAAGGATGGTTGGACGGAGAAGTGAGAGGGCGCATGAAGAGGACAAGGACGACAGACTGGAGAGTGGGATTGTGGGCGAAGACAAGGCAGGAAGGACAAGGAAGGGAACAGAGAGAAGAGAGATACGCACAAGCAGCCCTGTTGGAGTAGAAGACGGGCTCGGGTGTGGGCGAGACCTGGATGGCGCGCGTGTACAGCTCGGCCGCGTCCGCAAACTGGCGCGCCGTGTACGCTGCGTTGCCTTTTGCCTTGAAGTGCCCCGCCACCTTTGTGCGTTCCTCTATAGGGAGCGCGAATATCTGCTCCGCGGACAGCCCGTCGTAGTTCTCTGCAATCCCGTCAGCGCGCCTGCCCTCCTCCACTACAGCACATACATACCAGCGACATCCTCCACCTTGGCCTTCCCCGGCACCTCCTCCAGGATCGGGCCCTCCTTCGCCTCCAGGTCCGCCTTGCTGCTCCCACTGCTCCCACTACCACCCTTGCCCTTCTTCGCGCCCTTGCTCCCGCTCTTCTTCTTCTTCCTGCCCTCCCCTGCTCCTCCCGCTCCCCCGCTGCTTGCTCCGCCCTTGCCCTGCCCACGAGAGGACGACGACGACGTGGATGCCCAGTAGGCATACGCCAGCCCCCCAGCGACGGCAGCTGATGCGGCCGCGACGACCAGGACCTTTCTGTGCGTCGACACGAAGGTGCTGGCGCGCTCCACAAGGGTCTCGCTTGGTGCTGGCACCGCTGCTGTTGTTGGGTCTGTCGGGGCCATGTTTTTCTGTGCGTGCGGGGGTGGCTCTGTTAGTGTTAGGAGCCTCTCGTGAGAGACGAGGAGGAAAGGTGGTGAGTGGGAGACGGAGACAGACGTGCCGGGCGTGTGCGCGTCACAGCCCAAAATTTGGTTCGGAGCGAGTGGGAGAGACCGTGGGAATATTACAGATGTCTGTCTGCTGATGGCGCCGAGGCGTCAACTGCACGCACGGTGTCGAGCTCTATTCTCCTACACGCTGTGATTTTCCCCCTCCCAGTTCCTCCTCTTTACACACTCTCTGTCGGTCTTCGGCCCGGTCGCAACCTCCAATCGAAAGCTGTCCATTACCGTTTACTCGCCTACCTCCCTCTCCTTCCTCTCTCCTCCTCGAAGATAAACCTATCAAGCTCAACGTCCTCCTGGACCAGTCGAAATTCACCACCTAGCACCAAATTCCCACCTCTTTATTCCGAACGTATACCCCAAATCGCCTGCATCCCTAGAGACGAGCGTCGAGAGCTACCGTCTTATCCGGGCCCTATCCCTCAAGTTCTACTACCCTCCTAAGAACTCCGTTCCTTCCCTCTTACCAGTAAGCCAAGCAGCAGGCAGCGCATTTTGGCAATTAGGCACTCCCGCTCGCTCGCTCGCGCCGTCCTTCTTGTATAGAACTCACAACTAGTCTTTCCTTCAAAAAATGCTCGGCAAAGATATATCATCAGGACTCTCTACAAACAATATATGTACGAGCGTCGAGTGACTCCATAGGTATGTATGTACTATTTCTATCCACAGAAAACCGAGATAACGCCTCCCACAGTACAGGTACTACAACAACCTCTAGCGTAAGCTACTCTGCTCTGCTCTACAAATCCACCCGTCATGCCATATCATGTCGAACTCAAGGGATGCCCGCCTCGCGACTCGCACCCCACATCATCGTCGTCGTCGAACAGCGCTACTTTCCACCCATATGCATGTCGTAAATTCCCATCGACTTCGGGAGGTGGTTGATGACACAGAGCTGAAGGTCACAGACTTTCCGAGTCGTCGCTTCGTAGTATACGGGCGCTCGAGCCCATCCTCCTGCTCCTCCTCCTTCACCTCCCCCTGCTGCACCAAACCAAAAAAACTCCCCCTGGTCCAAGTTGTGTAATCGTGAGACCGATATCCAGGGGTGAAGGGTAGAGGGTTTCGGAGTTTCGAGCGAGGGCTGTCGAGGGACTTTGAGGCTGCTATCGAGGGACTTTGAGGCTACCATCGACCTCGCGATCGTTGATGTGACGTTGAGTAGGAAGTTGAGGCTCTCGCGAAGATCAAGGGACCAGGACGAGGACGAGGTTGAGGTTGGTGTGAACGTTGATAGCCGCGGGTCACAGGCGCATCAGACGCGGGTCACAGGTGCATCAGACGCGGGTCGCAGGACCGTGCCGCCAACACAGGACTGTGCCACCAACACCACACCATACCCCATAAATGAGCGATACATTTCCGGTCTTAGCCCTTTCCGGATTCCCAAACCGGCGGGTCGGGGCGCAGAGCGCGAGAGGGCACAGCAATCCCTGAAGCGGGGGATCCGGAGGTGGGGGTGTGGGTGTGGGTGTGGGGAGTGTGGGTGTGGGGAGTTGGGGAGGGGAAGGAGAAGGAGAGGGGGATCATAGTTGGAAATCGAAATCGGAGTGTTGGCTATGGATGGGAAGACTAAGTATGCGCTCGAGGGAGGGAGGGGTTGTGCTGTTACTAAGTAGTCTCGGAGATGGACGACTGGTGCTGGTGGGCGTTTACTTTCTTTTGGGCGGCGTCTTCGTCTGAGCGCCCCATTTTATACCACCGGGGCCACAGAGGAAGGCCCACTGTGGCTCAGCGCGGCCACCTCTCAGCCACACACCAATCTTCGATTATCCGTTTCTGGGAGACGTTCGGTGGCCCGTCTCTCATCACACGTCGCACCCCTCTTTGCCCAGTTGCCGTTGCGACATTGGGGGGGGCAAGCACACAGGCCCGCATAAGTACTCTAGTGTTGCCTAGTTTGGGCACTGTGCGCCACAAAACCCGCAATTGGGATATGGCCCGATCGTGCTCCGAGCGATGACTTGACGTCGGGCGAACGCGGTGGGTTCAAATCAGCGTCCCTGTCCACTGGCCTCTTCCCTCTCCTTCGCAGGTGATCGACGGCAAGAGGAGGCCATGTTTTCTTTTCTACCCTTTGCTGGCAACTCGCGCTTATCTTCGTCAATTGTCAGGGCATTCTCGTTTTATTGCATGACTGACTTGCGCCAAACGCTGCAACTTGACGTCACACACGGCACTTGAAGGTTTCAATAAATGATTTATGAATATGTTTAGCGATGAGAGGTAAATGTGACTCTATAACTATGGGCCTCAGGTATGTACTATTTCTATCCACAGAAAATGAGAACGGAAGCGCGCTAAGCCTGTCCCAAGTCGAAAGAGACGTGTGGGTGAGGCATAAATAGTCCATACAAGACGACGTCCGACAGCATCCAGGTGGGAAAGGAAGCGTCCTCTCTTAGTTTGTTTATACCTCCTTCTTCAGCTCCTGCATCTCCTCGAGGACAAGGTTTATGCTGCCTCGATCGCGATGAACGACAAGTATGGCGCCTCGGACGAGAATTCGAACCCAGTGCAGAAGATATATATCTTTCCACAGTGATTGGATCGTGTCCCCGGTACGTGTCGTGTCGTCGCACTGTTGTCCGTCATGGATGGGATGGGATGGGATGGCGATGTGTTTTGAGGTATTGACAGTCCAACGCCGTGGCGCCACCCCACTGGGCCCGGGGACGTGTTCCGTTTGACAAGGGAGCGAAGATTGGGTGGGAACGTTAGCTGGGCTGGGTGGCGAAAGCTTCGGGGCCTGCCACTGAGCACCGCACCGCACCGCTGCGTCGGTCAGCTGAGTCGCCGGTGTTTGCAAAGGGTGGGTGTGGGTGAAGCGAAGCAGAGCCGCTGAATGTAGGGGGGCGCCGGTGCCTCTGCTGTTGATTCGGTGTTCGCAGGTACGCCCCCCGTGCGTCTCTTGAGCTTCGGGTCAGCACTCTGGCGAAGGACGTTGGGTCGGCATATGGCGCTCCGAGAACGAGCGATCCGAGGTTCTCGAATTGCATTTGAGCCAGCAAAGGCAGCGGGAGGTTCCGCCTGAACGTTCAGAACGCTTGTCCGAGGCTGAGGTATCGGAGGCGGGTGTGAGAGAGCTCTCGAGGGTGTCTAGGACTCGCGCAGGCTATAGTAGCCAGGCCAAGATCTGCTCACACCAACGCCCAAGACAGACGTGCCATGGGCCGGTGAATCAAGCTTCAGCTTGTTCCGCGATCAACGCATCGCAACGCAGAGCGCGCGGAGGACACAGCAATCCCAGAAGCAGGGGAGGGCGAGGAGGTGGGGAGGAGGGGAGGGTGGTCGTTTGGAATCATGCTCGGAAGACAAAGGTTGGATGGGAAGAGCAGACGATGGCGGGGAGATATGTTCGCGTTGTTTATTGGGTGGGCGGAGGTAGGCGTTCGTTGTTGGAGCGACCTCTCATCTGAGCGCTGCCTTTATACCTCCTCGCCCTATGCCACCCTCTGTGGCCCACCTCTCGGCCACGCACCAGTTGTCCATTTCTAGAAGACGTCCGCGTCCTGGGTGGCCTGTCGTTCATCGCACGTTACCGGTAGCTGCCGGGATGGCAACGCATCAGCACAGATAATAACCTGATATGGGTCCTGTGTGCGCCACACATCACCGGCACTTGGCCCGATCGTGGATGGCGTTCTCAGTGGCGTGAGGAACGCGCTGGGGCCCGTGATGTGGCTTCACCTTCACCGTGCATGCTTGTCATCCGTTTCCGGAAGACGTTCTGGGTGGCCCGTTGCGCTCATCGCGTTTCCGGTGGCCTCCTGGGGAAAGCTCTTAGCGAACGCCCATGTCTCGCGATGGAGCTACAGCTGACCCTGCAAGGATGGCGCTTCAAAACGGGGAGGTAAAGCCTGCCCTGTCATATAGAGAGGCAGCTCGCGCCGTATTCGCTCAATTTACAACACCGTGGTGAGCCCCCAGAACCTAGGACGAAGCTCCAATGACTCGTCGTCAGTGTGCGAGTCGGCCTTTGGGTGAGGATTCTATTCCTATCCTTGCTCTATTGTACAACTGACCAGCGCATTTTTAAATGAATTAGATCATCTTTCATAACTTGAATCAAATACAAAATGCTTTAGCTACTACTAGTCAGCCTGAGTTTGAAGCGCAGATGGAAGAATTCATCCCGCTGGTTGCCAACCCGGTCGAGTCCAAGGCGAACATGCATCCACAGTTGGTCCACAGAGGCGCGATCGACCTCGCTATAGCCCGCCAGCGTCTTGAAACACTAGAAAGTGCCAAGTCACCTGTCGAGGTCGATGTCCGGCGGCCTATAGATGGGGACAGGACACCTCGTGCGCAAGAGGCACACCCGTGTCACCTTCCTGAAACGACGACCCAGTTTGATCAGTTGGATAGCGAGGTGGTAGTGGGGAAAGTGCATAGTCGCGTCAGCGATGGTCAACACCCGCAGTGGCCGCCGACCACTTCGTAGCGTAGGCAGCCTTGACGACCTCTAGTTGCTCCTCGAGCGTGCGCTTCCTTCGTGTCAGGGATGACTTGGTCGAGTTCGAGCGTTTCTTCTTCACTACCCCGCGTCCTCGGCCTACAAATCGGTGTCTAGATCTTCTGGCCAACAGCAGATTTCAACAGCCACTCCTTTATAACCACGTCGAATTCGACGAGTGGACACCTTTATGCGGCGTTATAGGCGCAAGCAACCCGCAAGCCGAGTCAAGAAGGCGTTTTCCATGATCTCTTGGTACCACCACGCCAGTCGGCCAGCTCCTGTTAGGGCATCATGAGCACATGCCTTCTGATGAAGGAACACCGATTCTAGTGAACGGTTGTAAGAAGTGCATATAGTTCGTACAGAGTTGACTTTAGGACGGCCCAGAAGACGGCTCATTCCGTAAATCCTATTCACATTATGTAGGTAAATGGAAGTCTCGAAGAGATTTTCGAGAAGGTAGACAGTCTCTGAATGGCGCCGTTGGCGGTTGCATATGAAGAGAAAAGTAAGCCAATCTCAACTGTCAGTTAGTGGATCACTGGGCAGACACACCGATCATGCCTACGATCCATTTTGAATGAACATCTGAAGTACCGAGGAGCCAAGCAAGAGGAGAGATCGTGCCCTCTTCGAAGTTTGAGGGAAAACGCAACAGAACTCACCAGACCGGAAGCCATTTACTTAAGACTCCGACCGGCAAGTTCCACCACCGCCCGAAACTCCTGTAAAATCCAACCATTCGTTTGCCTTCCCCGACCATTTTACTCTTGAGTACTAGTCGCCGGCTCAACCACTCAAGCGCTTAGCGCTTATCTTTTGAACTTATCTCACCCATCTCCCAGAAGAGATCGCACATACCACAGCGGTTCAATGACACATTCTAGTGCCCAGCAACCATAACGACCTGCCTGAGCAGATTCGAACGCCGTTCCCAGTGAGTCCTCCTTCATTCTTCACTTTCTACCGACTTAGTTGAAACGCTCGTCATCCAGGGCAGAGTGGCGCATCTATGCTTAGTTACTCAAATGGGACACTGTGGTCGACTGCGCATTGATCAATCCAGCGTGCTCACGGCAACTATCCTCCGAGTTGAGGGTCGCGCGGGGATCAACTTTCGTTGTAAGTCTGCAATCGTTTCAGGTTGTGGTCAACGACAGGATGAACGGCTTCTGTCGCCATCGCTGGGAAGAGTCCTTTTTTTGTCAGAACACTGGAGGTCTTTCCAACCAAGTTCCTCAGGAGTCGCAATTGCCTCCTTGCATAGAATATGGCTCCACGTCTTTCTCGATGCTGGAGCAAACTGTAGTTTGTTTGCTCAAAAAGGCAAGGCCAAGTTCGAATCCATTCGCTTTATTACTGCTTGTATCCAAAGCAGGACCCAGAACTTGTCCCAGAGCGTCTTCAGGCGAACGGGGCGAGAATCATTCACGGCCTGTGTGACAGCGATTTCCCGGGATGTTTTGTTGTATGTCTCAGTGCGGCCTTGAGTAACCGTAGCTGGTGTCCACTGGCGCAGGGTTCTTCGCAAACACACCTAGTCAAGGCCATGATTGCCCGCGTGAACATCCCTTGTTCGTACTTTTGACATATGGGAATGTCGGCGCTTGGAGGGCAGCATAAAAGCAGCGCGCACAATGTCTTGCCTCTCATCATATTTCTTCCCTCCCTTCTACACTCGCCTCTGTTTTATTTTTATCCTCACGATGCGCTCCTCTGTTCTATCTGCCCTCGCCGTTGTCGCTGCTGCCCTTGGCGCGAACGCAACGTGAGCGTTGGATGTCTTTCTTTGCTCATCCTGACTAATAGTCCTTCAGCAACATCCCTTCGACAGTTACTCTAAGCACGACCTACCGCGATGGCCCCACGTGAGCATTGTCCGACTTACGATTCTTGTCCCAGACTAACAGTCCTTCAGGGACACCCCCTCGTCAGTTGCTATAAGTACGACCTACCGCTCGGGCCCCGTGTAAGCTTACAACTCCTCTTGAGGCCTTTTTCTAACCGCAGGACCCTCGTAGAAATGGCATCAGCACTACCTATCGGTCTCAATTACCCCCACTGTACGTCTTACTTTCCTCCCTTCAACCGCCTCATTTATGGCTTACCCGTCACAATGCTAGTGGCACCTCTTTCCCGTCCAGCTGCGTCGTCTTCGTCACGTCGAGTGTAGGTGCCATTCCGGTCTCCTCAACCGCCTTCACCGTGCAACCGTCCGTCACCAGCCGGGCTCAACAAGAAAATTGGAAGTCAACCGCCGTGACCATCTCATCCTCCCGAGCCGCCACCTACGTCGCCGACGGCACCACCACGATTTACGCGACCGTCTACACCAGCTCGCTCGGTCCAGTGACGGTCTACCCGACTGCGTACCCTAGCGTCACTGCACTCCCGATCTGTGGTGGCGGGTCAACGACGACTGCAAACGGGAATGACGGCACGTCCTCGACTCTAGCTCCTACGGCCAGTGGAGCCACCCTCGCTCAGAACCTCGACTCGGACAACCAGACAGGCGCTGCGCCCTCGGTGAAGGCTGCCTTTGCGAGCGTCGCGCTCAGCATCATTGCGGGTTTGGGGTTGGTCGTTGCGCTGTGATGACGAGTGAGGAGTGTCTTATTCCTGACGCCCATGGTTTCATACTCGCTGTTTATTTATTGAACCTTCCTCTCGTTCTTATGCCTCGTTCTTTGACACCCATCATGATCCTTCCGTTGTCGGCTTAAATACACACGTCGCATGCCCATTTAAACCTTGAGTAGCTCAGCATGTCCGTAGTCAGCTTTAAGCGTTTGTCTTCCAGCGCCCGTGGCTTGAATGTCAGACGAGCTTTGACGTATCTGGATTGCACCGTATTTCCTGGCCTCGATTGTGACCGACAATTTCTAAACACAAGTACATGTAAATGGCCTGAGGTGGATTGATGCAGTCGAAATTCTGACATTTCATGCCTGTCTTTATCTACATTGTAGCGAGACGGACGGCAGGATATTTTCTGCTAGAATTTGCGCTAGCAATGATATTTCTGCCTTGGAGCACGCGCCAAGCCTTTTACTTTTTCTTCGTCATGTCACTGGTCGGCGATTCCCGTGATCTCTCGTTGGACCGTCGGCGGCAATGCTCCTTATCTTGTTCAACATTCACGTTTGTGAGTACTTCCCCGAACCCGCCTGAGGAATACTTATCTAACGTGACAAAACTCAAGATCGTTCATCTTGAACCCATTTTACGACTTCACTAGCGAACAGTTAAAAGGTACACACCAACAATTCCGCAGATTTTTGCCAACTGCAACTCTACTGTGGCGTGTTTCTATATGTACCATTATCTACTTATAAGTTTCTGTGGCCATACGCGGGCGTTGTGGATAGATGTAAAAAGTCGCCGACTTATGAGACCTGCCGGATATCCATCCACCATTCGGAAGTTGCCGTAGTCCGACTTCCCTTGTCCTCCACTTCCTAAGTACCTTTGCTCTACCTAGCTTCTTGCGGCCCGACTGCCATATGCTGGCTCGAGTAACACAAATTTCCTATGCTATTGACTGGGGTGTAAAGACACGCAATATGGGTCATGTAAGTACTGAGTTCACATGTGCCTCTTTGCTGAAATCTTAGTCGTCTTTACCCTTTACCGTCATGTTGGCTTTTAAACAGCCTGATGGCGCACTTTCGAATCTCTTATAGACGGCCCTCAATAGTTCGCCGCTGACGAGAACATGATCATATGTTCAGTACCCAATTCACTACCGAGTCTCACTGAGTACATGCGGAAGGCTTTCTCGGAGAGAATCTAGGGCGGCCGACCGCCAGTCAAGGTGGAGAAAACGCGCTCGGTGCGCCTATCATTGTGGTACATGTGCCAAAGACTGAAGAGAATCAATAGTACGCGAGACTTCCAGCTTACTGACCGTGCGACGGGGGGGCCAAGACATCAAGCATACGCACCATTAGTCTCCTTTTAGGTGTCAGTTCTGTCGATGTTTTCGCGTCGATCACTGTCCACACACTCCCTCTGCAATAATACCGGAAAACGTCATGCGTGAGGAGAATTCGGATTCTAAATGCGAACTCCGAAGGTGGAACTTGGAACGCGTCGGGGTCGAATAAAAAGCCTTCAAAGTCTGCTTTCAGCCCAGGATCCATTATACCACCCACGCTGCCCTCTCCACCCACAATGGCGTCCTTCAAGACTGCTTTGGCTTTGGCCCTCTTCTACTGTGCCTCCAGTGTGAGCACCCTCGCTCCAACAGTCGGTCGCACATGTGCCACGACGACTCTCACCGACAAAGAGGTCGCTGCGGCCCAGGAGCACTTTCTAGAGCACCGGAAACCTGTCAGAAATAGTGCCTTCGCGAAGGCCGCTCCAATCAATGTGTACTTCCACGTCGTGCACAAGGACCGGACAGTTAATGGAGGATTCATCCCGTAAGTGCGTATTTTGTCCGTCACTGTGAACTCATGCTGAATCTTGATGACTGATTTCTTAGAGATACAGCTATTGCGAACCAGATTCAAGTTTTGAACGATGACTATGCAAGCACTGGCTTCAGTTTCGCCCTCCGAAACGTGTCTCGCATCCAAAACGCGGAGTGGTTTAATAGGCTGGGGCCGTTCGATACCGAGTAAGTATTTTACGTGGAAAGCATCGATACAGAATCAATTGTATCTGTCCAGCTACATGGAATTCGAAATGAAGCGCCGCTATCGTCAAGGCGGGGCTGCTGATCTGAATGTCTATACCGTCGGGTACGTGCTCCTTCTATCCAACCAGTTACCCATCTCATACGCTCCTTCCGTCCAGCTTCGAAACTGGCGCTTCAGAAGGCCTCCTGGGATACGCCTTTTACCCCTTCGAATACGCCAAAGACCCGCAGCGGGACGGCGTTATCGTCCACCATGCATCCGTCCCTGGGGGAAGCCTCGCCGCGTACAACCTCGGGCGAACGCTGACGCACGAGGCGGGTCATTGGATGGGGTTGTACCACACCTGGCAGGGCAGGTGCACGAATATCGAGGGAGGCGATTTGGTTGACGACACCCCGGTGGAGAACGAGCCGTCGTATGGATGCCCAGTGGGGAGGGATACGTGCCCTCAAGCGCCGGGGGTGGATTCGATCCGTAAGTGTTGTGATTTTGAAAATGGGTGATGAGCCTGATATGACTTTGACTCGGGATGACTAGGCAATTTCATGAACTATGCAGACGACTCGTGCATGACCAACTTCACGCCCGGACAGGCCACGCGCATGAAGGAACAGGCAGTAACCTATCGCCAGATCGTGGTCTGAAGGGAACGAACATCTGAAAGCATGTACTTTAAATTGGGCCATGAGTACTTGAGTGGCAATACACCAACGCACCTTGGATATTGAATTTTTCTTTGTCTCTGTTCAATCAGCCATCAACTGCTCCATTTTCTTCTTCCGCTCCTTCCAATGATTTTCGTCTGTCTTCAAGCGCTCGTAGGATCTCCATACCCTTGGCGACGGCCTTTTCCTCCATCTGCACCTTATACCAATCGTTCTGAAACTCCTTCAAAGT